GGGGTTTTTTTCACCATATTCTGCACAGGCAAATGCATAAAGATGCAGATAGTTAGACCATCTCCAAAATCAGCTTCTGTTTGGCTCAGCATTGATCTGGGCAAGGATGTCAAACATGGCTAAAATGCGTATTTGGTTAAGGCAGGGGCCAGAAAAAGCCTTTAGGAATGTCTAGTGGGACTCATTTTCTTCTTTTGTGTTTTTCCTCCAGATGCCTTAACACGGGGATAGGCAGCCCTTGATCTTGCTATGGAGGCTGCCGTGACAGGAAATGTGTTGTACGCCTTTCTCTGAGAGGCTTCGTGTTGGTTAGGACAAAATACTGTCTGCATGGAGTGATTCTCTGGAGTGCCAGAATTAAAGTGGGTTCAGCGCTGTTGATCTGCAGAGATGGGGTCGGCTTTTTTTCGCAGTGCAGTTGGGGTAAGCGCCTGGTTTCTGAGTATTGCGGGGTGAACCAGGATGTAGAACAGCCTCTTTCCAAGCTTTGGTGGCTTCTGAACAGCTCTACAGCAAGGTCAGGGAACTGCTTTTTGCCATGGGGAGCACTGTGAGGGACCTTTCCCATCTCCTGCTTAGAAAAGGACAGAAACCCTGTTTTCAGTTGTAGACTAGAAAAAGCTTTCCTCTTTTGCTGGTGGAAAAATGTGACTAAATGGAGGGAAAAGCTGACCAGGGCTCATGGGGCACACCAGCCAAAGGGTCCTCAAGCAGGACATGACTAACCTTCCCCATGAAGACATTCAGAACTTGACCTTTTTGTTACGAAGGGCACCGGTGCACATTGCTGCAGATCAGACAGGGTTCCCTGCAAACTGTCGTAGCAGTCAGGGGTTCTAGCAATGCCAGCAATTTAATGACTGGATAGTGCTAAAGCTTGCTGGAGCTGACGGGACACCTAGCAATCCTGAAGGTGCAATATCATTCACAGCACGGACATGAGCCACGTCCCTCTATCCACATGGCTGTTTCTATCTGCCCAGTAGAGATTTGTGGGAAGTCTGGCACAACGGCACATGCTTGACGATCAGAAACAGCATGTGCTCCACAGGCACGCAAAGCTGATCTACAGACTGATGTATGTTGGCACTTTTGACACAGAGACCACAGAAGGAGAAAATTATCAAATTGCATTTCCTCAGGTCATGAGCAGGTTAAATTCTAGAGGAAAAATAGGGCTATGGTAGAAAAGCTGCCAGTGCTGCATCTTGATGAGTTATGGCATTCTTTCCAGACTGCCAGAACATGAGAGTTCACAAATAAGTGGTAGCAATTTCACATTTTAATTGGCACAATTGTAGAAAATGCTACTTGGCAAGTATCAGGTATTTTGTCTAACAGACTAAGCATTTGTCTGCAACAGACTTCCTTTGTATTACAAAGCAATAAATAGACATGAGGCTACCTTATATGGTAAGGTGAAAAATATAAGTGATGACTGTGAAATGAAGCTGAAGTTGGCAACGATAATGCAAACAAGAGGATACCTTAAGCATTAGTGGTGACCCCAAGCACGAATAGCATGATTCTGACTTGTAATAAAATCTAACGCTATCTGCATAAAACACCCTTGTAGTGAAATATATACTCTTGTGTTCTCTCCCACAAAACTGCAAAAGAGAAATCAGTGCCACCTTATGACTTGAAGCCAGAAAGCTGCAGACAGAAACACTGAAAAGAACTTGAGGCCAGTCCAGTCTGTGTCTCAAACCTATACACCATGGCTTTGCCACTGGCATCTTATCTCTGAAGTCCTGAATACCCACTGTGATGGTGCGTTGACCCTATCCCAAGAGACTAGCGTGTCGCCGAAGTGCTCCGTTAAGAAAGTTTCCTGGTAGCAAACCTAAATAGTTTCTTCCTTCAGACCACTACTGCACACCCCACCAGCATGACTAATCTCTGCCTCCCTTATTTTTCACCTTTCACATATTTGTGGACTAGTCTCTCTGAATTGCTCTTTTACCTTCCTGTTTAGTTCATCCAGTCCCTCTCCTTTGTTGTTCACCTTTTCTGATGTGTTACATACTCTACACACAGACTCTACATACTTTGTTGCCCTTTTTCTTAATTATCTGCAGCTTTTCTATATAAAACCCAACCTGAAAAAGCCAGAATAGCAAGATTTTAACTCCTCTTACCCAAGAGAGTGGTATGACTACATGTTTAGAGGTAAGTCAGCGCCCTCTTGGTATGACTACATGAAGTTGTTTAGAGGTAAGTCAGCGCCCTCTGGTGTATCATTAGTGAACTGCAAATTTTCTTAAAGATTAAAGGACATTAATTCCTCATGAAAGGAAGAAAATCTTGATGAAGATGGATGCCCAAGAGATGAATACAGAAAATTTTGTGCTTATTTTCAGATAGAAGAAACTCTAAATTTTTAACCTTCTCCTCTCTTTAAAGAAGAAAATACTGAACTAAGTATTTTCAGCTTTTTGTGAAGAAATTATAAAAGCATTGAACTTGGCAAATTACATTCCTCAAATGGCTTTTTTCTTTTTTTTCCTAGCAATTATTTTGTATGATATGAGAGACATTTAGATGTAAGTTTTGAAAAAATTCACTATACAGTCAGTTCATTAACCTGTGTTTTCAAAATTTTCATTTTGCAAGAGCAAGAGGATGTCATTCAAAGGTATTTCTACTCAGCATGTATAGTTCCTGCGACCTTTTGTTTTGCTCAAATTACTTTGGTTTTTTTCCAAAATGCATTTCAAAGCTGTAACATCTCTGAAGATGAGCTGGTTTTTTTTCTTCCAGACTGGACTGTGGGTTCAAATGGATTAGGTAGTACCTTTAACTAGAAATACTACTAGATACTAATAAGCAATTCAACGCAAAAGTAAAAATTATATAAATACCCATTTTTACACTTTTCTTTACTTTTTTACACTTTACTACTTTTCTTTATTGATGTTAGGTTCCAAATTCTCTTCTCCACCTACCACCAGCAAACACACTGCCTATGTCAAGCTTTTACCACAGAAAGGGTGTACTGATGACGATTACAAGAGTCGCGAAGATCATTCCTAAATTTGTGAGGAAACCACTGTGGTGAGCTGCCATAGAGAAATCATTCCGCTCTCTGGGTATACTTATTCACATCTTGGAATAACAGGGTGTGTTTTGCATTGTTAGTTCTGAAGAACCAGCATATATGACTCCTTCCTTGAAGATTCCTTTCAGGGAACCTTCAGGCAAGTTCCTTTTATAGACACAACTTTGCAGCTCTTTCAGCCTCAGATTTTGCCTTCATTTACAACCCTGCAATAGATGGGGGCAGCAGTGGGAGGGGGGATAAACACAAATGGATGGAGGGAGAAACACAACTAATAACGCCCAGATATTTCACCTGACTGTAGAATACAACTTCCAGCAATCACAAAAGCTATAGTATGACTTCACTGTCTTGGATGATGACTCTGCAGTGTGATAAAATTAGAAATGATACCGTCTTGTGATCCAAACAAACAGAAAATCATTGGGGCACAATTGATGTGGAAGCTGGCAATCACATTTTACTAGCATCATTGTTCAAGCTACTCTAGCTCTAGAGGAGAGCAGGAATTTTTTAAGTTTATACCACTCTTTTACCTGTACATATCTGTGGTATTGTAAAACTAAATCTTTGAAATGGAAGTTTGCTTAAAAGGAAATTTACTTAGCAATCCCATCTAAAATCAGAAATATAAGGATTTTGGGGACGAGAAAACACACAAACTTTCCCAAGGTAAAAAAAAAAAAAAAAGAGAGACCCGAAACCAAGAAGTAAAAGCAGTTTTACATTGAAATAAGGGAAATGTGAAGCTTAAAATTTATGGAAGTCCCTGTTCCAGAGATGTTCACAAAACAGATGTTTCTCCACCTATTTTACTCTCATTCAAGGGGCACACTTGCCAGTTAAAACTCATGGTAGTAGCTAGCTAGGGAGATGATGTAAGAACAAGTAAATCAATTTCAAATACAGTAAGAACAATCATTTACTCTTCTATTTTCTGGGTGAATTAGTACTTTGTCTCAGCATCACAAAATATCTCCCTTATACTCCCCTTTCTGTTCTCATTTTTCCTTTAGGTCAAGCAAAACATGTCAACCCAAAAGAAATTTCTCATGTACTCAGGGAATTTTGTCTTAAAACCCCCAGCTTTTGGTTTTACTATTTTTCAAATAGTTCAGGTAAAGCCAGAACAAAACTCAGGTGCACAAATGAGTCAGTCATACCAAAATTTTGCCAGACTTACATAGTAATAGTGGGAATTTCAACTAACAGTTATTCCTGAAAGAAAACTCTTGCATTCTGGTACCCTCCATTCAGAGCGTCCAGTTGCTATTCCTGTGTGACATTAAAGGTTGTCTCCACTGTGTTTTGTCTCTTCATCCCAGTACCCCCATTTCATTCCATTTTGGGAAGAAATCATTGCTACATATATCAAATGGTAAATTCTTGGAAGGTGGAATAGATGCTCTGTTAAGAGCTTGGCAGAGCCTGGTAGAATCTAATATTCCTAAATCTTACACCTTTCAACAGAGCATACAAGAAGAGATCTATTGGTTAAGAACCAAATGTTGGCATCCTGGAATCAAAAATCCATAGGTCAATTTTTTTTTAGGACTGGGGCTCATGTCTAATACTGTACAGGCGAGACCACTTAAAAATAGAGTTCTGCTGCAGCTCATTGCATTCACAGCAAGAAATATTCACTGAATATGTAATCATCTTTTGTCTTAACAGTTAGTTAATAAAGACTGTTTATTTATACAATACATTTTAAGCCAAATTTTGTTAAAACAGCAAGAGGATTTCGCACTCCTGTTTAAAACAATCATAGTTGCTAATCAGCAAGTTCAGTGGTGTTTTAAATACGTTATTCATGCTGAATAGTTAGCTGGTTTATGCCAATTTGACATTTAATAGAAATTACAAATACTATGATAGCCAAAGACTCTGTAGGGCTTCTCCAGATGCTTATTGGCCAAGACAAATCGCAGATGTTTGCTTATCTTTCTGTTGAATGTCCTCCAAAATTAGTTGATCCTAGAATAAGAATACAAATACAAATGGAAAAAAATATTAGTAAGACTACAGGAGAAATCTATTCATGTAAATTATTTTGGGAAATTATTCAAGGAAGAGAGAAAGTGAAAACTGTGAAAAATTAAAAATATACACCATACATTTTTAGAACAACTTTTGCATAGCTCTTCTTATGAATCTAAAGATGTAGTTTGTATTTATATAAAAGAATTGGTTTCTCTTTCCATAAAGGCATTTTGCCACATTCCAGTTTCTTCATGAACTCAAAACTGCCTGGGATGTGTTCCTCTTGCAATAGAAAGGTCACATTTGTTAATATGGACTAAAAGATGCTTTATAGCTGAATTATCCTGTTCGTTTAAATAACAAAGATTTCACTTGTGATGTAAAATTTTCAACACGAAGAATTAGGTTTCCAAGATGTGAATGGTCAAGGTACTAGATAATCTTACCTAGGCTCCCTTTCTGACAATAGGTTGGACCAGATGATCTTTGAAGGTCCCTTCCAACCTGGGCTGTTCTATAATTCTATGACTTCATGAGTTAATCTGCCCCAGTGCAATTCCTACCCACACCCCTCTAGGGGCTCTATGAGATACTTCTGCTTGGTTTAGGCTGCACTCAACAAATAATACCCTGGACTATCTCCTTTTTTACTGTCACTTGCGGACATTTATGTGCATGTCATGACAGGTAGATCTGTAAGAAATGTGAAGTTGAGACAGAAAATGCGGCAAATGAGAGAACAAAACTAGGGCTGAAAAAAATCATGGAATTGGGAAGTTTTCTACTGAAGTCTGTGATGGGTTAATAGGTAATAATAACAGAAATAAATTTAGTATTGTACAGAATAGGGGAAAAATGGCCAGAAACATATTAGCATAGTTATCATTAAGCCTTTCCTCCCAAGCTGTGAAGATACAGAACATGTGACAGAGTAAAATGAAATAATTAATAATATTTATAAAACTAAAAAATTAAATACTAGAAATGCTTTTGTCTTATTTTATTTTCTTCAAATTATTTCCTTTTTTTTGCTGGTTTGTTTAGTCTCTTTGTTGTAATTATCTAGAGTGACTCATTTCTACTTTTCTTGCTTCGCAGGAAAAATAGCCTTTACTGTCCTCTTGCCTTTTTCGTTTGGTCCATCCTGCTTCCTCTTGTACACAAATATTCTACATTCTTATCTCCATTCTTCATAAATTCTTTAATCTTCTTTCTCTGTAACCTTTGTTCTGTCCCGTGCAATGTTCTGGGTTCCTTTTCTTCTCCCCACCCTTTTCATATCCTTTCCCTTTTTTCTGTTCTTTAACACACCTGCCTTCCTCTTCTCTGTCTCATCATCTGCTCATTCCCTATCTGTTGTTTATTTTTATAATGAGGTCACTCATTTCTTCATTTCCATTAACATTCCCTAGTTCCTAATAACTAGGTGATTAATGCTTTACTTTGTACTCTCAGAATACTGCAGCTTCTTTTTATGTTCCTTTTTTCTTGGCTACACACAGTCAGATGTCAACTGTCACCTACGACACGCCATTCAGTCACACAGGAACTGTCTCCCATTCATTCTTTTCATTACAGACATTTTGTTTTCTTTCTCTTCCCCTGTGTCAGTTTAAGTATTCTGCTTTAGTAAAGGACTCCAGTTGAGTGTTTCAGTCTTGGTATGACTTCCACTGAGTTCACTGCACTTCTTCCACTCATGTTTTTCTTTTCTCTATTCCTTACTTGAGATTTGCAGCAAGATTAGTTTTTCCCAAATCATTACATGCTTTCCATTATTTAGAAAACAGTTACGGAAATGATCTGATTTAAATCTCTGTTATAATATGATTCTGAACTAAAGCAAGAACACATTTTCACAGCAGCTATTCTACTGCACAGAACACTACGGCAACATACTTATAAACATCAACATTTTTCATATTTTGCTGATAGTCTACTTCCAATTTTGAAATATAATTTTTGTGTTGTTTAATTTATTTCGTATTTACTGCTCTCCACTAAATTAATATGTTATAAGCATACGCTATGCTGGGAATTTTTCAGAGAGTGTTAAATGTTATTTTATAAAATTTACTTGCCTAAATGCTGTCTTTGCAGAAGTCCAGAGATGGTGATGGGATGCCTTGTTACAGACAACTGTGGGGATGGTGATGTAAAAGGATACAGCTGAGGGGTTCTGAAATCAGAAGTAGCCAATGACCCCCTTCTACTACTTTGTGATCCAGATGATGATCCACTATGTGGTAGCATTATAGGTGTGGATCTGTTAATGAAATTAATTCATGGATATGATTTGAGGCTACCTTCATAGTACTACAGATTTCAAAACCACTTAAAAGGATAGTGTCAATATTTTAATAGATAGTGTTATAAATTATTGTGTTCTACATACTCCTTATCACATCTTTAGTTCTTTATAATATTTAGGCATTTTAAAAAGCAGAAGAACAAAACAAATTATATGAGAATCAGAGATGGAAAAAATATTTTGCTGTGCATATTTTAAGTTTGCGCTAGAAAGATATATTTGGCTTACTGATTACAGAGAACAAGAGTTTACCTTTTCTGGAACCATTTTAATTTTTTCTTGATGTTAATAATTCTCACAGTCTGAGACATTTTTAGTATTTAGATAAAAAACCTGAAACACCTGCTACCTGGTGCATGAAGATGTTCAAGTTATTCAGAGAATAGCTCTTGTGTAAACATTGTGTTGTCATCTCTGATTTTTAGTATTATAAAACAGACACATCGTTGCACTCTCTTACTACAAATTTACCACCCTTCATATAACAGTACCATGACTGTAGATGTCTACAGCTACAAGATCTCAGATTATCTCTGCACATTTTTGTAGACTGTGACTTCAAAATCAAACCTTCCAACAATAACATATTCATATAGGGGATAACTAGCCTGCACAATAACATTTCTTCAGGTATAGAATATAACCTTTAAACATACAGATTAAGCCAGACAAGAGAAACTTCAGTCTCTCATCAGAGATGGTAAAATCCTGAAAAGGTATTTAATTACCTCGTAGATCCTGCTCTACTATTTTGACCTGACATTATTCCAGATGACTGAGAACTTCTGTAGGACACACTACCTGTAAGAGTCAAATTTTTGAAAACAAGGACAACATGAATTACCCATTTTACTTAAGAGGGAACTTTGGAAACAGAGATTAGTACTTTAGTTGCATTATTTGGGACAAATTCATGATCGGTTTATTCAAAGTTAAAAATGGTTCACAATTACAATAGACAAAGAAAGATAAGGAATTGGCTGACAAAACAAAGCCATCACGTCGCTTGAGAAATTATTAAAATAAGACTAAAATTTAATAATGAGTTTTTACAATTCAGCACAGACAAGATATTTGCTGAGGTGTCTTCCAGCACTTCTTTGCTGGAAGAAATCCAGCAAAAGTGAAAGCTATCAAAAGTATTCAGCAGTACTCCAACAGAGAGTAAATGTGAGAAATTGTTTTCAGTCTCAATAGGTTATTCCCACATAGAGCCTAGCCGTCACAAAAACTCATAATGTGCCATTCCCTCAAATCTTTTTCAGGTTTCTTTCACCTCTTCTCATTTATTAGACTATTATTAGACTATTAGGATAGCTCTGCTGATATGTTCCAGTTCTTCAGCTATTCTTTTTTGCCCCATCCATCTCTGAGAAGGAAACTTTCTTCAGTGCACCATTAAATCATTGTTTCTATGTGCCCTTACTTTTGCAAGCATGCTTTGTAGCTTTCAGCGTTGTCCACTGCAAAACTTTATGGGTTGATTCTAAAATGTGCTGAACACATAACTGTTCTATGTATAATTTTATTATCTAATTAAATATCTATTTATATTTAGACACAATAAAAAACCAGTTAAACTCAACTCTTACTATCTTGTTACCCACAAATTTATAGGCAAGGATGTATTTAGGAAGGATATGAACACATAACTTAGACGTAACTCACAAAAAGCAATTTTTGCCCCTTAATCACAACTGCATCGTAATTGCATGTGTCTTTGTTTCGAGCTGTTTACACCATGTAAACTCATGAGTGGTTTAAACTCCTAAGTTCCTTATGTGGCTGGAGATGGATTCTCTTAACTGCTGAAGTTAGCTGTAAGACTGCCTGAGGAAGAATTGTTACAGAAGCCTGCTGAATGTAAAACCAAAAATGGGAGGGACACATGAATCGTAGACCTGCGGAGCATTAGGAATTCTGGGGAACTCCTCGCAAATAAGCTGTACTCAAGGACACTGCAGTAATTTCTGTAGGCTGCCATTCATATCTGATTTACATCAGTGTTACTGAAGCTCTGCAACAGCTCAGGAATGAAAGGAAGTACAGGCACCTAAAATGTCTTATACCTTATTGCAGTGATATGGTGAAAAAAAATCATCTTTCTGAAGAAATTCTTGATCTCAACTTAATTACTGTGCTTTTGTCATGAGATACTTCTGTAAATTCTGTTTAGGTTCCCCTCTTATCCTGATGTGATTTTGAACATGACGTTACAGACAATGTTAATCTCTCGTAACTATAACCAAATATAATTATGAAGGTTAATAGAGGGGCAAAGGCATATAGTGCAAGTATGCCTGTTCTGTTCAACCATGGCATCATTACAGTCTTTTCTTTGCATCTCTGTCATAGCTTAGCAAAAATCATTTTTGTTACAAATAATTATTCACAGAACAGGGTATATCACTACTAAGAAGTCTCATTTCATTCTTCATTTTTAACCATTTCCCATATGCAGGATTGATGTCTACATGGTAAGTACCTTCTTCCTTTACTCAGTTCAAGCTTGCTCAGTAAATTGCTAATGTATGGATTTTAATTTATTAATCATCTTCATGTAATACAAATGTTGTCCAGTTGCAAAATTGATTTCTACTCACCCATACGTCCATCTCGTGGTGGAGTTATTAATGATAATCTTGTTGGACCAGTCAGTGTTTCAGGCTAAAATGAATGGCAAAGTATTAATTACAGTTTCTTAAGTATGTTAATTATCTAGGTATTTCAAGCAACAGTGTTATATTTTTGAGGTTGATAAAGCCTGCAGATTTCTGGTACTCTCAGCTGCCACTTTTGTTCATAGCACTAAAATGCAGAACATCAGAATTAAGTCCCAGGGGAAAAAAATACATGTCGTTTACTTTTATTCCAAAAAGTCCTACTGTCACATTCATGTAAGAAAAATATAAGACACATAATTTGCTGTGGTGAGATTCCATTCTTAAGCTAATATCTTTCCCTGGATGATCCCTAATCACAATACTAATAATGGGAAAAGCTCCTGCCTTCATTCTCATCTTAGAGACGTCATTCAAACCTTGCAATTCCCTACTCAAATATCAGGTTCTAACATTGCTTTCAGACCACTGACTTCTACATCTAGCTTTTTCTTAACACATGAAGATACTATACACACGTTGATGACCTTGAGCATAGACAGAAGCAAGATCACCTGATCAAACAGCAAACAAAATTGTTTACAAAAGGTGAAAGATTATGGCTGGCTTGATTTGTCCAAACAAACAAAGAAAACTTTTATCCATCATAAATGACATTTCAGGAAGGTTTTGAAAATCAGTGTGATGTGAACTTGAGAGTGACAAGTGTAACTTCAGACATCAGCAATGACAGCATTTACATCCAGCCTCATCCCCAAAATCCTTTTATGGTCAAGGAAGAGAAAGAGGAATGAGACCAGTAAGTGTCCTTTAGAATGAGATGAATAGAACACATCAATCCCTAGATTGCAAAGGAAGCCCTGAGATGCTAGCCTAGATCTGCACTGCAGACATCTACATGAGATCTGGTAACAGTGGAAATCTTGCATTTATTTCCATTCCTTAATATATTAGAACTGAAAGTTAATTGCAACTCTGAGTTTCGTGCATTAGTGACATTTATTTTGGAAACAGTTTATATTTTTGTAATATAAACATAGTGACATTTCAAGAATTTGCCATTTAATTTAGCATCATTTAAAAGCCTATATATGGCATGTGGAGAATATAATTCCAGAAATCAATGTTGTGATTTATTTCTTTATGGTTCTTTTGGGGAGCATGTGACTTCTACTAGGCATCAAGCATAGCTGAACTCAGCATGTACATAAGAATTGTTGTGACTGGCAGGGGTGGGGGGAATCCTTATTTTTGCAGTATTTAACAGATTAGGAGAAATTAAAAGTACATATATGTACATATACATAACTATATAGATACACAAACATATACGCAAAAATACCCACTTACTTTCCTCATTGGTGAAGGTACAAGATCAATCTCCATTGACTCCATTCTTACAAAAAAGGTCAAAATAAGTATGACATTATGATAAAAATAACACATTTATTATAATGACTAAAATTACATTACATTCCCATGTTAAATTTGACTAATAATGGAAAATGCATAATACATAATTCATAACACGTATGAGTATTTAGGACTTGTCCCAAACCAGTAAGAAAACCTATTAATTGATTCTGAGCTTTGGTTTAGATGTTTACAGTGATTTTTTTTCTCATGATTACCATTGTTATTCTTGTATTTAAGTTAGAATAAATATGCATATTTACATAATTGTCACTTGTTTCCACAAGGGCATTCTGAAATTTTATTTTTTATAACAAATAATGTCAGTCACAGGTATAGAAATCTTGTAGCTTGAGCAAGATGTACATCCAATGTATTTAAAATCCAATAAGCCTTACTGGAGTTCTTCAATCTAACTTTAGACAACTACAATGTACATATACATGTCTGTACAAGTCATTTAGATTTTCCCTAATCACCAATTCATCAATCTGCCTATCTAGAAAATCTTTAGGAAAGTTTGCATCATGCCTCAGAGTTTTTTCCAGTGAGTACAAAGGCAATCTATACAAGTAGTCATTATGTACACTTGAATAGAACCCTCCTCAGTTCTTTCATACTTATGGTTTGAAGAAACAAAGCACAAAATTAGAAAATATACTTATTTTAAACTCAATGGAAAAAACAATGGCTTTGTGTATAAAATATCAGTATGTTGTCATTGTTAAGATTATAATTGAAAAGTAATGGATCTGTACGTACATTTCAGAAGTGGAAGGATGACTACGATGAAGAGAACACGAAGAGTAACCATTCTGTTTTCTTGAAGGAACTAAAGTCATTAATACATTTATTATTAGAACACAGCTATATCCAGTGATAGGTATTCCATAGTTAGTATGTTAAACAAACAGGTCTTACTTGAAAGGGGATTTCTACTTGTACTGGAAAATGGTAATTGTGTAGTTTGTTCAGGTGGTTTCATACTAAAGGGGAAACAGAAGAAACAACAGATATAAATTGAAAGCTGTTTTGGTTAGTTCATCCATCTAACTGGTCAATAAAACATAACATCAAAGCATTTTATTGATCAATAGCTAGTTTTAACATCACACTATTTGCCATGAAGTAAAAGCAGCAAAACTTCTCTATATCATAATGTCTTTATCATGCACAACAACATCAATTTAGGATAACATTATGGCATAGTACTTTATGGAACAACAGATGCTAAAATGCAACTATTAACTACAGTTGAGTCAAAAATCTATTAAAAAAGTATATACAGTTCCCAAACTTAAAAAAAAATCTAGTTATCAAAAGAAAAGTTGGCATATTTATGATTTTCACCAACTGCTATATAAAACTGATACCTTTGCTTGCAACCATACACAGGGGGAAATATGTCTACTGTGCTTGTAAGGAAGAAGACCTAGGTCACACTCTCTTGGTACAACTCTGAAAAATCTGAACTTCAGTAAGAACTCTGTATTTGATATAACCAAGATGCTATTTATTTGAGATGCAGACAAGGAAAAAGAGGTAGTGGATAAAAATATATAAACTATTATAATCCACCACATACCTAGTTTCCTTTATACTGTTTTTCTTTCGGTTATATTACACCAAGAAGCATAATACAGCATTAAGTACATGTCAGAGTCAAAAGAAAGTCTATACTGAAAAAACATAGAGAAGGCATAAGATCAACAAAATTTTGCAATTAAATTGCTGGCTTTATGAACTGGCTTATTAAGAAGATTTCAGCATCCTTGATCACTGGTATGCATAAAGTGGCATTTGTGAAGGGCTTCTATCAACATGGATCTATAGGGAGGAGTACCTTGTAACTATACACTAAGTACTCTTAATACCCCTATTCACTAAAAGGGAAAAGCAGACCAAGCCTGTCAGGTTTTCTTCACAGAAGTTTTTGAAATATTAGAAAATGGGAAGGATAAAAGAGGACATAGAAACAAAAGTTACAAATGAAAAATATGAAAAATTTAATAATTTCACCACAGGCGGATCATGGCAGATCAATCTGATATCTTTTTTCATTTGGTTTATATTCTGGTAAGCAGAATTTTTTTAATGGTAGTAAGATAGTACATTTTTTCTGTGTTAATTTAATTCAAACATTAGAGTGCTGTGTAGGCAATGTGGACTTTTAAGCGGAGATTAATTAATTCAGAGCAATTAATTCATATAAGTATACCATAAATAATGTTAAAAGGAAACAATAACAACAAAGTGTGAAGAGAGTGCAGAAATGTTATTAGTCCCCTTCTGGTTTGTATTGCAGCTGATGCTGTTTAACATACTCCCTGATGAGTCCGAGATAGCCCACAGTTTCCAAAATTTGAAGACAGAAAATTCTGAAGATAGAAAGTTACATTAATATTGAGGAGAACTCCATAATGATTTTTAAAAATGTAATCTTTTCAAACATGTTATTGAAATAAAATTTAATGAAATTGAAAGTAATAGTACGAAGTGCACTTAGGGATCATTAAGAACTTTGGTGTTAAGCTGGAAATAAAGATGAAGCGATTAAGGTGTATCTCAATAAGCAGGGGGATAATGACAATCTGCCTCTTGGCTATCTCTTTGATGCATTTGTGAAAAAAAGACTAATTGGAAATGAGTCAAGAAGTTGATTTTTGCAAGAAACAGAGAAGATGAGAACCATGTTACAAAACTCTGGTAATTTTGCAAATGGGCTAGATACTAGGAAAGATATCATAGTACTTTTCAGGCTGATGCTGGAAAGCCCATTGGATAAAACACATGTTCATCTAAACAGAATCATAGAATGCAAGTAAAAATTTTAAAACCTAATAACTTTATGATAGAGATTGCTAAAAGTTCATTTTTTAACTAACTACTGACTTGAATTTAAAAATAAAAGGATTCCTTCCTGACAGGATTGATTAATGTGAAGAAGATGGACTTGACAGAAATTCATTATCTCTGTAAAAATATGCTGCTTCTATTGTACAGCACAATATATGAAAAAGGCAAAGAATAATTATCTTTTTATTGTTTTATCAATTAAGCTTACTGTTGCTTGATTAGAAAGACTATTCCGCATTTACTTTTGTACATTAAATCTCTTACCCTTGTAGCTGGTGCATTTGTTGGGTTACTTTCTTGAGAGATTCTTCCAACTTTACCGTCTGTGAGATAATCATAGATTTTTAAAAAAGTCAATTTGTGTTATGTGCAACATCATTTTCACACAACTAGTATTCTAAGGTGTTGAAAGTCTGTTTTCTATTGGTTTAAATCTTAGATATCATTGCTATTCCATATTTACTGGGGTAAGAGTATAGCTGTTATATGGATCCATTAAACAGACAATCTGAAAAAGATAAGCTTCTTTTTGGGAGATGGAGACTTAGTCTGATTACCTTTTGTTAAGTGTGCTGGTAATACTGGATAAATGAGCACTAACAAAAGTGCCTCAAAAATAGTTTGCCTTTATTTTTCTTCCTCTTTTCCATATCTAAAGTTATGTAGCATATAATATAGAATTATGTGGAAAAGATACCCATAACTGTACACAATACCAAATACCATGTTCCTATATTTCTCTGTTCAGAGTCAAAATTTATTCAGTTCTTTGCAGTACCTATTTGTAATAAAATTATTTCCCATTAAGTTATAGACAAAACCAAAAATATCTCCATTAAAAAATGTTATGAGCTTGCAAAATTGAAGAACATTAAGGTCAAGAACATTAAGTCAGCTCCCTAGTATGTGTATTTTTTACAGTCCTTCATTACATTAACATATATTATATTTTATGAAGGATGTAAAAATTTACTCAATAGCCTCGATACTGCATCTGTATTTTATCCTTAAATTCTGTTCTGTGACCTCAGTCCTTCATTACTTCACACTATTAATATTTTGATTTGAAGGCAAATTATTAATTTTCTTGTTAACTTTTCTTGTTTCTACTCATAATACTATTTGAATTCTTTAGTAACACTATCTGATACATCCTTATAAAATCATATTGTTTGTGGGAGTTATGCTCTTTTTGCAGATGTGAAACTCTGCAAAACAGATTAAAGACAACATCTAACTTACATAAGATCTGATTTTTTTTGTATTCTTTTTCTTTTTCCTAATGAGAGTTGGGTTTGATTAAAGAAGTAACCAGTACAAATGTCAGGAGCAATGTACTTTATTCAGTCACTCTGTAGGACTGGATCATTTTAAGGCCAAAATGCCTCAAAGGTGGTGAATAAATATTTGGTTTTCAATGTGTTTAGGTTCTAGCACAACATGGGGTCTAGACTTGCCAGGAATACGGACATCAAGTGCCCAAGCCACTGATATCATCTACACCCCAGCATCTGTACAACTCTCAAAAACAGCAACAAAGAAGCTTTTATCAAGGTCATGAAAGGTGTTGGCTGACAGTGGCAAGGATGACATACTAGAAATAATAAAGGGAACAACAAACAAGATAGGCAAGCATGAAAATGCAGTTTTGAATTCCCTTATGTTGTACTCCAGCTTTCCAAAGGCCAAGACCTACAGAATGGAGAGTGGCAGGAAGAAACACTTGTGTCAAAGCGTACATTTGTGCTTCCACACTTCCCTGGGGGGTCATTGCTATTTGCCAAACTGTTTATACTCTAAATCATTCTTGCTCCATCCTTTTCCCACTCACCATCATTTCAAAGCCAGTGGCAGAAAGACTCAGATGGAGATTATAACCCTGAGTGTGAGCACCTAATCCCACTCTCTCATGTTGTGTGCCTTTGCCAGCTGTGATCTAGCCTTCCTCAGCTCCTTCAGACTCCCTCCCAGTAGCCCTGAAGGAAGGATTGCTAACTGAAACTCACAGGAATGAGGCAGGTGTATCATTGCGCAAGGAAGCTCTTCCTTGCTCACCTCAGCCTCACTGCCAAACCATTTCTCCACCAAACCATCTTCACCAGTGCTAGCCGTAGCTGCACACAGGCTGGTTAAGATAACCAGTCTCTTCAGTTTGTCAGCCCTAGCCTTCTTTTCCCCTAGACTTATCATGTGTCTCCCAGTGTCTCCACACCTCTTCCACTTTCTCCTCTATAAAATGAACTGGTTTCTTCTCTCCCTGTCCTTTGACTGCCCATTTAATCTCAGTCACCTCACAAGTAAAACCTGTTTTATTAAATAATAGTAACTGTAATTAATCAAATCCTCACAGATTTTAAACAATTAAACCCTGATATTTATAATGACAGAAATGATGCAATCCTGATAAATTATTCTAAGTATTCCAATAAAAAGTAATAAATTTTCTCAAAATAAACCAAAGCAACAAGGAAAACATAAGCAAAAAAAAAAAAAAGAAAATCCCAATTAGAGTTACCTTTTGTCGGTGGTATGCTAATAAATGTTTACGATGTTTTTCTTGAAATTCTGAAATCTAAAAATAAATACAGTTATATCAAGCGTCACCTAATTACATTTATGCAACCTCAGCAAAGAAAACAATGGTGAAAAACTGCTTCGCAGTATTCAAATTTTTCTATATTTCAACAGGTATTTAACATATCTTCTTTAAATCTTTTCCAACAAAATATTCTGTTATTATCACTGATAGAAAAAGTCTTATAAAGTTAGTTTAATCTTGTATGACCTACATTAGGGTTGGTAGATTTATTTCACTGGATTTATATTTTAATACTGTGTTCAATAACAAGGTAAGACATTGGAAAGCCAGTTTAGCTGTGGTGTTTCATATTCATTAGTGCTAAGCAAACACATAAAATTAATGGCATCATAAAAAGTAATGTGTCTTACTGGCAATTATAACTTGCCTTGTAAAAATATCCTGTTAATTAAAAAATAATTGTTAGACACAGTGTCTGGTGGTGTGTAAGCATTTCTTTTGTCTAAATGAGGATCATAAACCATGACAGGTTAAAAGTAAAAATATACAAGGTAGGCAAGACAAGAGCTCAAGGAACTAATTACAATAGGCAATAACTTCCTAATAAATCTGTGTTCTCACATGTAAGAAAACTGCCAGAAAATATGTAGGGATACAGACAAACAAGAAGAAATGCTCTGAGAAGATAACCCCAGAGTGGAGTATTCAACTGAAATGGTTACTTTTTATTCACTGTAGAAGATCCTGGAAGGTCCTACTGGATACACTTCTGATTAAAGGATCAGAAGTGTCTTCAGAACTGATGGAAGAAATGGCCACTCAGAAAGTAATGGCTCTGAGCTGCCTCACACCACTCAGAAATGAGGTCCTGGGTCTATAAGGAAGAAATCTGTGAAAATGTCAATTCAGTGTTCAATACCAGTCAAAAAGTCAAATCAGATCTTAGAAGTGATTAAAAAAGGAATAGAATAGGGAACATCATTATTCCACTTTAAAAAATAAATGTTACTACATTCTGAGTCTGCTTAACATCTCAGAAAGGATATAGTAGGTCTGAAAATAGTTCAGATTAATTAGAGGTATGTAAGACCTTCATTAAAAGAACGACCACATAGAATATGAGTCTTCATGGCTGAAAAAAACGACAGTTGAAGAGAGTGTGAGCTTGCAGCCTAAACCTAAGGGTTAGCACAGATGGAATGTATGGGAATGGTTACTTTTTCCTCTAGAATGGGATTCGAGATTATCAAATGAAACTAGGAGGTAGCAAGTTAAATCCTGAGAAAAGAAATCATCATCACACCCCCCATTGCATAGTACATCATAGATGCTAAATATTCAGAAAACAACTTGGCAATTACATGGGGAAAAATATCCACCAAAAGCTTTTGAATGCAAAGGCACTGCCCTCACCTTGAGATATCCCTGTGCCACAAACTGTTGAAAGCTGGAAGCTGTTCTGAAGACGTGTTCTCCCACATGCTTTCCTAAACCCACTGTTGTGACAGGATATTAGATTAGACACATCTTTGGCCTAACAGGTCACAAGCTGTTTTTATGTCTTTCAATGCTGGTAGAAGTTCTGAATATATCTTAATGCCTTAATTACATGTCAATATGTTTCTCATAGATTACCTCAGTCTACAGAAAACTACCTTTGTCTTTTGAGTTCGCGTGTGTTTCTCCCTTTTTTTGACACCTTACAGAAGTGTGTATTCACATGACATTGGTGGTATAGCTCTTGGGACTATTCCAGTTTAGAGAATAACTGCTGATCATCATCCATGCTGCTTAGACGTGCATACAGAAGGATGGAGGAAGGTTTCTTGTTTGTCTTGTATCACCTATGTATCTTAGGAGGAGGAGTGCTGAGGAAAGGGGCTATACTCAGCTTTGAAAAAGTTTGTGAAGTATAGAGGAAATGTGACTCTGTAATCACCATTAAAGAAAGCAGGTGATCTTTCCTGGGTTACTTTTCTGCTGGATCAGGAAACTCACCATAAGACCAAGCATGTACCAGGCCAAGGGAGATGAGAATACATAATGAAGGTTGCAGGCGGGTTCAGGGAGGATGTACTACTACAGTTTAACCTAGAGTGGTTGAAACTGCCACTGAAATGGTCAGTAAAAGGGACAAGTCTCAAAGCCAAATGCAGAGATGTAGAAAATGATAAGGCAATGAAAGTTTATATGAATTCATTTAACCTAGACAGCTACTAAAGTTCTGGACTGGAAACTAAGCCTGAAGCAGGGTGTCCTGCCTAGGATTTACAGAAGGCAGGGAGGAAATTTACCTTGAAGTATTTTATTGCAACTGTCTGAAAAAAAGAAGGCCTGTTTCAGGTTTGGATTTTAGAAATTAGATTGTTCTTAGTTTTAATCACAGAATCATAGAATCACAGAATGGTTTGAATTGGGAGGGACCTTAAAGACCATCTAGTTCCAGCCCCCCTGCCATGGGCGGGGACACCTTCCACTAGACCAGGTTGCTCAAAGCCTCATCCAGCCTGGCCTTGAACACTTCCGGGGATGGGGCATCCACAGCTTCTCTGGGCAACCTGTTCCAGTGCCTCACCACCCTCTGTGTGAAGAAGAATTTCTTCCTGATATCTAATCTAAACCTCCCCACTTTCAATTTAAACCCATTACCCCTTCTCCTGTCACTACAGGCCCTTGTAAAAAGTCCCCTCCCAGCTTCTTTGTAGGCCCCCTTCAGGTACTAGAAGGTACCCCTTCAGGTACCCCTTCAGGTACTAGAAGGCTGCTATAAGGTCTCCCCAGAGTCTTCTCTTCTCCAGGCTGAACAAGCCCAATTCTTGCAGCCTTTCATCATAGGAGAGGTGCTCCAGCCCTCTGAGCATCTTCATGGCCTCCTCTGGACTCACTCCAACCAGTCTGTATCCTTCTGATGTTGAGGGCTCCACAGCTGGACGCAGCACTCCAGGTGGGGTCTCACAAGCGCAGAGTACAGGGGCAGTAATAAAGCCTAGCCTTTGAGATTACAGATATTTGTTAACCTGTTCACTTTGAATTACAGAGAGAGAGAGCGCACACTCAGCTCGCAGCTTTACCCGGTTCAGATTTTCACCGCGTAACTTTTTATTGCTATAATTAGGGCACAATATCTGGGCATGTTTAAAGTTCTGGCAGATCTAATTTTTCATTGCATGGCATTGAAAGTGATTTTACGTCATTAAAATAACCAGACTAGTGGTCCTCAGAGAGAGTTTGAAAACATAAGCAATGACTGTGAGGAATAATTTATGCTTTCTTCAGAACTTTGAAACTGTGGAACCAAGGAAGTAAAGACAATAATGGGTATACATTCATTTTCAAGCATTCACTCCCAGATTTTTTCCCGTTTATATAAATATCAGTAGAAGCTGCTAATTATGTTAGATTTATAAGGCAGATTCACCTGTGTTATTTCTTTTGAATATTTCTTGCATAACGTATCTATTCCCATGAACAGCGATTGAATATCAGGATTTGTCTACCAAGAAAAGAAAGTAGGCCAGTGTTAGCATTTTTATTTGCAAGCTATAACAAATAAAGCATTTTGTGAAATGTTCCTTAAATTGATTGATGTAAATAAAGAAAAAATGGACAGACCAAGAGTAGGATGAAACAGAAATTGAAAACAAGCCCAGTTCTATTTAATGTCCTTATTAACCATCTGGAAGGCTTTGTGCTTTTGTTTAAATATATTACACACATATGTACTTACTGTAACTAAGACAATAACAATTTCCAGAGGACATTCAAGGAAGATGTTGTGGTCCCCTGGAAGAGGCATTGCCTTTAGATCAACAGCCAGGTTTCTGGCTCTCACCCTCCTCAGGCACATGGATGCAACTAATAATCATTTTTGTTTCCTATTTCAGTCCTTTTTCAGAATGGTGCCAATGCTGACTGGCATCCCTTTATCTCTCCTGCCTGTTGGGCAGCAAAATGCTACCCTAGCATAAGAAAAAAGCCCTAAAATGATAGTTGTATTTTTCAAATATTTTATTACTAAGACTTTTAATCAGAGATCATGATGAGTCCCCACAAGTGGCTATCTGTGTTTTTAGCAAATGCTGAGCACTCACTCTGTACCTAAACTATGATCGTATTCCAGTAATATATTTATTATTTACAGTGAGAAAGAAAGGCTACAAAATATAAAGGGAATCTCAGAATAATAGTAACATTTGGACATCTATCCAAATCTAGAAAGCAACTTAGATAAGTGTTATTTTAATCCAGAATACATGTATTCCTGATTTATTCATAAGAAAAAGAAAAAAAACCCACAACCCCAAAATAGTTACCCTAGTTACAGTACTAAGTTAAAATAGTTACATTACTGAGAACTAACAGTTGTCACATTTCAATCCTCTTCTACTATAACAGTAAACAGCTTTTAAAAATGAGGATTCTAGCTAAAAAACCCACATCTACCCACAAACTGTAAACTGGAATGTTCTCTTTCATATATTGTGATTGTGTAATAGAAGGTAGATTTGACTAGCCAGAAGTTGAATAAAAAGCAAAAAGAATCCCAACATAGTTAAATGATAAAAGAAGTCCCAGAAAAGGCATCCTTCATGTAAGGAACCACCTTCAAAATCCAATCAAGAACTGAAACTGTGGCAGGCAAAATGTAAATTAACCCCAGAAGTACTCGAGAATCTCAGGAAGTTTAAAAAAAAAAAAAAAAAGGTGAATGATTGAGTGCTTCTCTGAATGAAAACAGAAAGATAAGTGCTACCACTTAAAAATATTTCACTGAAATCAAAAAGAATTGAGCTTTGCTCCATTTGCAAATGCACAACCATGCACAGAGACAATAATTTGATATATTCTAAAAATAGTATAACACTAGTATAAAATCAAATATCAAAGACTAAATAACATTTAGTTTGCATTTGCCAAAACTATTTTTAATGTGTGCTTATATTATATATTTTTAATAATTAGAGGGAATTGAGTCTCATACGCATGAAAAGCAACTACTTGAGGAGCTAAATTAATAACCTGGATTTGCAACTGATTTGTATCTTTTGTTCACAATATTCTGCCATCAGCTACTTCAATGTCCTGTATGGCAATTCAACTGAGCAAAGATGGTGTGCACTGTTTGGTTACACCAGAACTGTGCATGTGGCTGCCAAACGCCCTTCTGCTGATGAGGTGTACTTGCACTTCTCTCACCAAGGGAACTAAACTGCCTTTCTTTGCTTTCCCCAGCTACTAATCTTGATAGAACTCACAGGAGGGAATTAACTGCATTTGAAACCTCCTCTGCACTTTTGAATTTGGTTGACATTAGCCAAAAAGCATTCAAAAATTTCCACGGGGTGAACTGGCAGACCAAGAAAGCCAGAAGCAGACAGACAGCACAGTCTAACCTATCTATGGTATTTAAGTAAAGAAAGATAAGATATTAAAAGTAAAGAAGACAAGAAATTTTCATCTATAAAAATAATGTATCCATAAACATACACTTGTTGGCATCTTTGAAATATATCCATAAAAGGCAAGCTCTAGAAACTGATTTAGGGTCCTAACAAAGCAATGACCTTGGTTAAGAACTTACCAGATCTGAGAAAAATAAACCCCAAAAAGCTTCACTGCTGATTGAAAAACTCTTTAAAATAAAGGTTTGCAGAACACTGTTTATATTTTATCTGTTGCATGAAGGAGTAGCAGATGTTAACATGATATTCTGAAATAACGAACAGCAAGGTTCTGATTTATCATAACACTTAACCATCCTCTGGGAAAAAGCAAGTGGGGATCATGAGACATAGAAGGAAGATATAAAGGTGACAAGCACGCGTTACCGTAAAGATGAGAATATTTAATGTGTAGCTGCTGATTGCCCCAATATACAATTTAATGAGGAGTTTTAACACATTTATAGGACCTCCTACTCATTGGGAATTCTTCCATAGCATCAAGCTCATAAAGGTTACCAAGTATAATTCCACTCAGGTTCCTGAATTATAGAGCCATGACTTTTTTATATGCATCTTTAATTATCATTCCAATCATTTTATCTGCTCTTAATCAAGGCTAAGCAATCATCATTAATGTCTTTTTTAAAGAATATGGTAATTTGTTTCTTTCCAGTCCTCCAGAGCAGTGGCAGGTTCTAGTGCATCATCTAATATTTTTGTTAGTATCCCATCATTACATGTTTTATTTCCTTCCGTATTTTTGAAGCAAATTGTCAAGGTCTGTTGAAATGCTGCAATTGAAGATGGATCTAACTTCAAAATTAGCTTTGTTTTGAGCAAGGTATTGGACAAGATGACCTCTAGAGGTCCCTGACAAGCTAAATTATTCTCTGAAATTAATAACAAAACTTGCATCCAGGCTAGGCTGATATTGAAAGCTTATTAAAATACCTCCTTTAGAAGTTTTACGAGAGGCTTTGGGTTTGTTTTATTTTTTTCATTTGATCACCGTGTGCACTTTTCCCTTTGATTATGTTTGCAACCTGTTGGTTTGCTGTAAATTTTGATTTTTCATAGCAGTTATCTTCACCCTGTCTCAGTTCTGCAAGATTCTGTGTTTACAAGTATGAAATATAGTGTAAAAGCCTTTTACCTTTTTGTATACATTATGTAGAGGTAGAGATTCTGTATTTAGATACACATCAGCTCAGTTTTAAACATATCTAGAGAAATCTTGCCCTCCTTCAACATCACTGCTTCACGGTTAGGACAAAATACTCCTCTATTTCATATATATTATTGCCTTACAGCTTTGTAGGACTTTATGTGTTATCTGTATTGAATGATCTTGGTATTTTTCTTTTATCATTGTAAGGCAGGCCTGTCTCTTAGGTAGGCACCAGTCTAGGAAAATATAAATGTTTTCACAACCCATTTATGAAATCAGCTAGGGAGAAGATGGTTCCTGGGAGAAATAAGAAAATTAAATCCTTCTAATGATTTCTTAAGAATGGGAATCAAAAGTTATTCATTCTCTAGTGAATAACAAGAATTCCCAACAACATTTCTTAATCACATGGCCATGAGGAAAATAGTTAAGCTTAAACAAAAATGGGGAAATAAACCCAATACACTTGAAAACTGATGCACTGCCATGCACATTTTTGATTCAGTCCATTACATGAAACAATTCATTATAGTCCATTTTCTCTGATGTACAAATGCCAAAGTCAATAAACATTTTTCCACATTTTGATAATAGTCATTGATGTTACATAGCAGCCAGTCATGTTTCTTGAAAAGGTTGGAATGTTTTACAGTTCAGCAGAATCTGAAAACCTAGAGTCTCCCCTTAAAGAGGCTTTTATTTGAAGAAATCCATAAAACTAAAAAAGCTGTATAGTGCATAAGGGTCTAAGTCTACCAACTTAATATCAGCAAGTATTCATGTCACAGTTGGCAAACAAAAGGGAAATATTTCATAATGCAAATAATTTAGCTGTAAGCAAACTAGAGATTAATGTAATACAACAACACTAAAGGTTCATTTACCTGTTTTGAAAGGAATAATGTACGACAAGGAGTTCTGCAGATCAAACATTCATCTTTTTTGCCTGTAAGGTAAAGACACATTTTAAATATGCATCAAACTCAACAGACACAGAACACAGTTTTAATGGAAATTGATGCCTAAACATTTATATGGAGCTTGTGGAATGAATCTGAAGGTTATACAAAAACTGCAAATAAACATGAATGAAGAATTTTATTCTAGAATCATTACACACAGTTGCACAGGGAGAATGTGTGTGAATGTAATCAGGTCTTACTCCTGCAAATAAGCATTCATGTAAATGATTTTATGAATATCATTTGTGTCACTGAATGTAGGTGACTTTTAGATCCTTTGATTTAAATAGGACTACTTGTCTGGTTTAATTAAATGTACGCTTAAGTGCACTAATAAGAGTCAACTAGATATATGACTTTTTAGACTGGGCGCAGTCTGGCACTCTTGATAAAACATATGAAACCTTAATCTCAAAGAATTAATGATTTTGCCTTGTGAATTTTTTCAGTGAAAAATTGATCACATCACTTTTTAAAATTTCATCTCTTTTTAAAATGTCTCTGATAATTTGCAAACATATTAGCAAATATTTCTACTAAAAGCATATGATTACAATATTTATAACTGATAATTTTGTTAGCTGCTTCCCTTCTAAGGATTCTAAGGATCAATGTTTATAAACATATTTAAAGAGTTTTAAGCTTAATATTACCATTATTATTGAATTCACGGGGAAAAAAAATAATTTCTCAGGTTTTTTGTCTGCCAAATAATATTAACAGCAGAAAGAAAAGGTGGTGTTCAGGTTCTAGGAGCCTGCAAGTTGTATTAAGAGGCTGCATTTCATGATCCTCTCTCCTCAACAGCAACCTCGTGAAAACTTTTAATCAAAAGTTTATCATTCTGAAATATAGATTGATCATGTATTACATGCATCCTTACAAATAACACGGCATTTGGCAGGGGAAAACATTTATATTTATCTGCCTTTTTTTTTTTTTTTAAAAAGCAACTTCCTTATTCCGCCATGTTTTCCACAGATCATCATCTAAGCACATTGCCGGAGTCCCAGAATATGACTCAGGAATTGCATGCAACACACAAAAGCTTCAAAACATCACCTCCAATCCTCCTAATGCTGCTGAAAATTTTCTAGTGTTTCAGTAGCAATACCGAGACTTAAAATGTCTTAAGACTACTAGCAAAACATGCCCTAAACAAACTCTGTTTTGCAGATTGCTCTTTCACTAATGAAAAACTATGCCCTTTCAAAATTAGAAGAGTGGGCTGGGTTTGATTTTTTTCAGTGCAATCATGGATCATAAGCTTCCAACTTGTATTGAAGTCTCCAGTTTTCAGTATCTGAGGCTTGTTCTCAATGCCATATTGCTCCAGCCAGATTCATCCAGCAGGAGGCACAGGTGTTTTTTTACTGTTTAAAGAAAATCAATAGCAACAATTGAAAAGTTTTATCAATAACATTGATAAATGGCTGACTAAAAGAAATGCTCTGGCCTTTCATTTTTCCACAGTGAGTCAGAAATGTGAAGAGTTAAGGTAAATATGTGCACACCGGCGCTGCCTGCCCCGCAGAAGCAGAGGGCCCTGCAGCAGCCATTACCTTTCTGTAGGCAAACCTCACAGATAACATGTCCGCAGCTTGTGAGGCTGAATCGCGGGGTGGGTTTGCGGGGCTCACAGAAGCAGACGTTGCAAAAGACTGGGACAGCCATGTAGCAGAGTGGCAGGAGGGCCCAGCAGGGAGCAGATGGCTGAGGTAGATGCTGCCCTCCTTGCCGGCACAGGGTGAGACCTACCAGGCCCCCTCCACCACGTTCCCCCGCTGTGAGGCATACCAGGCCCTGAGGTGAGGGCTGGTAGCGCCCCTCCCCCAGCCGCGGGGCCTGAGGGCGGCAGAGTTTAACCCTCACACCCAAAAAAGGGTGTTTTCCAGCCTCTCACTACCAAACTGGAGAGGGTACCCACGCAGGGGATCCTCTCCTAGAGATTTCCCCCTCCCTACCACAAGCTGGGCAACAGAACTGGTCGAACCACCCGTGCCCTGGCTGGGTGCTTTGCCACAAGCCCTGTTCCCCTCACAGAAGTGATGAGCCCATACAGAATGGGCTGCTGCTGGAACAGCAGGTGTGTGGAAAAGGGTGGTGATTTTTCACTCTCTTAAATGGAGGAAGGCATCTGGGAAGGTTATTAACTTACTGTCACAGGTTTGTTGTTGCTTCTGGTGAGGAAAAAGAGCAAAACAAGGAGTTTTAATTTTAATTTCTTAGTCTGAAAAAAAATCAGGGCTTTCTAATTTCCCTTCATAAAAATTTTAGGGGAAAATTCCCTTACAGACCTATATGCAGTGCAGGCCGTAGCTCTGGGTATGCCAGAGTCACAGACTGCATAGGAGAAACCTCTGGCTTTTAACTTCATAAAGACTACTGCCCTCAAAGTGCTTCCCAAAAGACCTATGAGTCAGTTTCTGCTTTTACAGCTAATTAAAAATCTTGAAGGAGACTGAAAACATTTCATCAAAGCAAAGATTTTTTTATTATTATTATTGTTTCAGACAGAGAATTAAGCACTCTCAAGCTATAGTCAAGGCTCCAATTCTCAGTGCTGGTTTGACTATAGACCTAATTAATACAGAGGAGCATAATCAGCTCCTTTATGAATTCTGCCATGGTGCCTGTCCTTTTTGGTTCAAAAGCCTAAGTATATTTTAACTGACATGAGTTAAGTTTGTCATTGGGATGTAGTTAAGAGCCTTAGACTAAATGCCAGCTAAAGTCTGAACCACTAACATGCAGCAACCCTTTATTAACCTATCTTCTTGGACTTTGGATACCATATGGTTGTAAGACATCTTTCCTTCTTGCCCACCACCAAAGATGTTATTACAAGACATGTTTGAAGTGCTCTATAAAAGTGAATTTAGTAACACTTATTTACTAGTCATTTCAAGTGATAACTAAAGTCTCAGAATTTTTAAACATAGGACACACCTCAGTGAGTAGCCTTATGAGATTTTATTTTAATTGATTTAGTCTGTAGAGCATTGCTTTTTGTCTCTATTTTGTATCAGCTTTATGGATTCTTACATACTCACAGCTGTTTTTTCATTCCCATACTGTAAATGTAACTGAACCTAAAGGGCAATGTCATTTCCTTGCTAATGAAAACAAAAGGTGAGAAGACAGAAAAAAGAAAGCAAGCAGTGCCATTAACACAATAATTGGTTTACAAATATCTCAGCTTTCAATACCTGTTAGACTAGCAGAAGGTCTGGAAAGACAAGTAGGAAGCCAAATCAAAATATTCTGCTATCACAGTGCTCTCTAGAAACTTCCAAGTTTCATGTTTTTACATTTTAACCAAGTGCGGAGATGGGTAATGTTATAACCACGTCCAACTCCTTCTTATACTACTGCTGTTTTGTCCAGCTAATTATCTGGATTTTTAAACAGAGCTTTTTGACTTGTAATTGCAGGGTACTGTAGCTGCTCTACCAGTTTTATATAAACCAGCTACATTGAGGCATAAAGATATATCGAACCAAGCTGCAATAAGTGAAAAGGAAACACATGATTAAGTCAAAAACTGGTAAGTTCCTTAGACAGCTATGTTAGAGTTGCTGAATAATTAAAAGGAAAATTATTCTCTAACACAGAAAGAAACTGAAGAATTTAGTGTAGGAATAACTTGAAATTTATAGGCACAAATTCAGTGTTTACCAAGAAACATGTAATTTGATTTACTTTGGCATAATTCATAAAGACTAATACTTACATTAACATCTGTGGGAGAGGTGTGATCTCAAATATACATCCTAATGTTTAGGGCTTATCTGGAAGTAAAAAGTAAGGACAAATCCAAATTTTTTGTCTGGGTCTCTCTTGTCCATGGTAATTGCTGCAACCAGTGATCATAACCTTAGGGGTGGGTTCCACTGTCACTTAAAACTCTGAATATTTTTAAACAGTCACAATTATATTTTAGAAAAAGGTAGGCATTACACATAAACAGGCTGAGTTCAAGACACTCACAAAATTAAACACCATAAGGGGTATAGTTGTTTCTCTGCCTACTATCTGAATCCTAGTCAGTCGGAAATGCTGAACTGTTTGTGGTAGCATCAAATAAGATTACTAAGCAAGTAGAGAAATTTAAAATATTAGGAAACTTTTTTAGACCTCTATTTTAGATTTAACAATCCTGAGTTGAATTTAAGTGCTGCCTCATTCACTGAGTACTCCCTTCAGATTTAGCTTTACGTCAGTAGAAAGAAACAAACTGCTAAAAGATGGGGTTCGAGGATTAAAATGTAAGGGGATGCCAGAGGTTGTGATATAGATGAAGAAAACAGAGTTAGAGTAAGAATCAGAGTAGAAAATGAGAGAAGCTTGAGAGTTTTATACAACGAATTTTCTCATAGATGCAGGGTTTCCTTGGGTGTCAGGTTTCACATGGTGTGCAATTTTTTAATCTATGCATGTACATTATAAGACTTAAACAAGCTTCTTAGATATAAAGAAATCTCTGAGAGATTTGATTTGCCAGATTCCAATGAAGATGAGGATTAGTGTTTGTACAATAGCCCACCACAAAATATTGCTGTTGGTTTCTTCACTTGTCTTCCGAAATTTTTCTTCACGCTCCTAAAGAAAAAAGAAAAAGCATAATGATTACCTTTTTGGCATCTGTATGTTTCATGTTGTTATCCAGGTAACAGGCAGCCCTCTTCTGCCCAGTAGCGAGCAAACACTTTTTTCATGTTGATAAAATTGAAAGTTTGTTCTTAGCCTTAAGGTGGGTGTCTTTACAAACCAAAACTGGGAAGCAGGCACACTGTATCCTGAAGCAGAAAGGCAAACAGAGCTTTCCCTTGTTCACAAAAGATATATTGTGGTAAATATGTTCCATTAGTACAGGCTTATGCCTTTTTAGCTTTACAGTCACTACCATATTGTACTTGAGAACCCCTTTTCAGCCACATTTGTTTTTTTAGGTAACTAGTTGGTGTATTTCAAACACAGTCTGGCTGCCTGCATACGTATAGAAACGTCAAGACAAAAGGGGTACACTTCTTTGAAGGAGGGCTTTATGTCTAACTGCATGGAGATATATATAAACATACACTCTGTCATTTCCTTACCCACTCCAATAAAGTTTATACACACAGACCAGCATGGAAACAACAGCTGGCAACATCACCAGCAATAGCACCTGCCACCTGCTCAGCTGCTGTTGCTGACTCTGACCAAGAAAACTGTATTTGGAAATTCCTGCTTTAAAACAACACCTGTTGCTATAAGCATGGGTTCACAGTGATTAATTAGTTTTTATGTTCCAGCTTAAAAATATTTTGCAAGGTGATGTAGGCTATTTTGCTTAAATACCAAAGGATTTTTATGTGTTAATTAAACATAACACTGCAATTAAATAATAAACCTCATAATACTTTATAAATCAATAAGCCTATGTACAATAATTTTAACATTTCCACTAGGAAACACATACTCTTTCATAGTTTTGTTCTTTGGATATGTGATGAATTTGCTCAACTAGATGTTCTAGTCTAATGTTAACTTCATTCACTTTGTCTTTGGCTTGAAAAGCAGATTCATCCAAAACATGTTCTCCAACTCTGATGTCCAAGTGGATACGCTGCGAACAGAAAAAATATTCTCATTACTGTGTTTTCTGAGTTTTCAAAATTCCTTAGAAAAAAGAAACAATGGATAATTTCCCTTTAAGCTCATTACAGGAAAATAGTTTTATTTGCTTATAGAAATCTTTCCTAAAATTGGAATCAGGTGGCATATTTAAAGTGTTTCTTAATTTTATTATCAAATTAATTATACAATTTTACAGTCTTCATTGCTGCTAGGACATTTTTTTTCATGCTAGTATTGATTCAATCACCATGAAAATGCTTTCTGTTCTCTGTCCAAACTGGTTAAAAAAATGAGCACCATTAGGACTGCTTATTGTATTTCACATTCCATCCTAATATTGGAGAAATTACATTCCTCGATAGCACTGCAGGAAGAATTTAAAAATGCACTTCTATGTTTTCTCCACCAGCAGTAAGGAATATAAGACTGGAAGGACACCAGCTGAATCATTATTTCCAGTTTATCATAGGTGTTAAAGCAGAACTATCCATAAGGTAGTTTTATCTCTCTCAACACATGTTATTTCTGGTATGAAATACCACCCAGTATCCTATAAATTGTCATGCAACAGTTGTTAAACCCAGCACAACAACCTATAACAAAAAAACCCCAAACCTGCCAAGCAATAGACCCATAGAAAGAAAAGAGAAGAATGGAACTTAAAATATTATGCAACTTATTTTGACATAAAAAATTTTACTAAAACTAATAAAGTTTAGTAAAGACAAAGTTCTTCTAAAAGCCAATTTGTACCTAAGAGAAAATAAAAAACTTTAGCTAAACAGGTAATCTGTGGAAATCCTTGAGCTTGATAGTACCACAATGGGTGTTTGTTCTACTCAGACAGCAACCACAAATGAAGAACACATCTTCTTTCAGCTCTCACAGTTTAAAAAAAAAAAAAATAAGGCATGCCAAGAGAGTAATTCTTACCTGATCAACTATTTTTGAGAGAAGGCATATAGATAAAATTTTTAAAATGGTGTTTATGAAATTCTTTGCTGAAATAGATTGGAGCCATGGTATCACCTCTGATGATTTTTTTTTTCCAAAATCTGCATTAAGACCAACTTTGTTGGCAGTAGATAATATCAATTATGCTAATATATTTTAATTTTAATATATTTCAAAAATGAAAATGTTAGATTTTCATTAGGAATTCAATCTAAGTTATTGAGGACAGGGAATATCCTTATGACAAGTGTTTGTGTTAGTCAGTCTTACATATCTATCTTTTGGAACCAAATAGTTGTTCTTATTTATCAAAATCTTTCAAATTCAAACATTAAATCATTCTATAGTTATTAATCTTGCCTCTTTAATCTTGACTTCTTAAATATCAGAACAGTCATTTTATCTCTTCATCTTCATAATTCTCAGTTTGTCTTCAGTCACTAGGAAATGGTGAATTATCTGCTAGAAGTTAGACCAGCTCCTAATACAGTTGGTAATCTCTGCACTTTGTAAAATATTGATATTATTACAACAAAATATTAAGAAATACACCTACCAGTTTACTTCCTGCAAATGCCACAAATCTTGTGGAGTTAGACTGTAAACAGATAACATGCTCCCCAGACAGATAGGATGTAAAAGAAAATGTTCCTTGTGGCCCATACAGTTTTGACAATAGTACCTGTAATTTATATAATATATTTGTTGCGTATGTCCATTACAAATCTCAATAAAACAATCAAAACCCAAAATTGTGATTTGGATATAAAAAGGAATCAATTACCCTCCTGATATCATAAGTTTATCTGAAATTCAGAGTAAATTTAGAGAAAAATAGACCATTTTATCTTACAGTGAACATTGAAATGTTATAGATTTCTGCAATGCACAAAAACCAATGATCTCTAAAGCATTTAAAGTTCACAAACTAAGACCTTGTCTAGACACATAAATAAATTGTCCTTTGCTGAAAAAGCTCAGGACCTCATGGCAATGCAGGCAGTTGCTATGCATGATCTCTGTATCATCTTTATTTGCAGCTTAGTTTGTCATCAGCTTGCTTTTCTGCTGGTCAAGTATATTCTTCATCATTTTACTTCAACAGTGGATTTTATTTTTTTTTTTTAATCTAACCTGTTTTATCAGTTGTCACTTACTATGCTTAGTGACACAGTTTCCCAAATTCAGTAGTCAGACAAAAAATGTCCACACATATCATTATCAAACATTGTCATTTCTATTAACTTTGATAGAAATCACAAAGTGCTTACACCTTTCAGTATCAAAATACTGAACTAGTTGGTAAACTGTAAGTTTACTTTTCCCTCAGAAGTAACTTTTTAAAATAGTACTGCCTGCTCTTGCCAAAAGTCAACTTATAAATCCCACAGAAACATTCAGAAAGCGTATTTACCTCAGCAGAAGGAGTTGTGACAGTCACAAACATTCCCAAACCAGGAGCAGATTCAAGAAACTCTTGTTTATGTATATCCCAGCGCTGTACCTTGTAATTCCCTGAATAAAAATATAGATAAAAATCTGTTAAATAAAACATACCTTAACATTAGACATCTTCATTGTTTTTTCAGCGAAATTATTAAGATAAATGATTAATGATAAAACAATATATGTATTTCATGTGCATATGATTAAAGTTGCCCAGGGGGCCCTTTATAACAGTGTGAAATACAATACATTTTTATTACACTACAAAATGTTCTAGAATACTACAAAAATGATTGATTAACAAGTAAAACTTTCTGATTACTCCCAGTGCTCTGTCAAGATCAGCATACAGAAGGCATGCTGAGACCTCCAAAAGCATGTGTGCTGTATTCAAATTACATTTTTAGGAATGTCTTTCATATTTATCACATTATTTATTAAAAAAAAATCTTACATTTACAGTCTCGTAGATTAATTTAATGTGCTTCTGATAGCCCAGGTGAAATGGAACTTTAGTACATCTTGAATTGCTTCTTACCAGACCAGCATTAATCAAAAAAAGTAACAACTCTCCCATTCATACGGGGAAAACCATGGTACAAAAATTCTGGTATGAGTGAGTAAATCAGTCAGAATATATAGAAGCACACACACTGAAGCAGTAATTCCACTGCTATAGAATTAGAAGACAAACTTTGTCTGGTCAGTTAAGCACTCTGGAAATCTGTGAGGACATTCTGACTTGTTCCTGGTGCAGGGAGTTATTTTCAGTGTGCCCGCTTTCTTATCACCATGGTTTTACCATATTTATAAATCATAGATTTTCCTATGACATTACAACCTGTCTTTATTATTGCATAGATTAGATCATTGTATAGCATTGACTGGTACATACCGATTACCAGTGTGTCACGGGGAACGTCTTCAATTATACATTTCTCTTCTCTTTCTCCACTGTGAAAATACAAAGCAAGTGAAAAAGAAACACAGAAGTTCATAAAAAATCCTATTAATTGGCTTTTCATGGTTTTTATGTATCCCAGTTGTACTCCTTTTGAGGATAACTATTTACAAATGTATGCAGTTCTGTGGTCGTTCCTTGTTTGCTGCTTATCAGTGTATTTTTGAGGGAGAAAAAAACTGTGAGAAAAGGCAGCTGGTGGTTACACATTTATAAATAACTACAGTATGTTCTGCAGAATGAGATAACATGAAAAAAACCCCTTGTAAAATCTTTCTTCTTTCCCAGTATCTAGATTAAAATTTTATTTTATGAACATATAGGAACATGAAACTGGAAAGGAACCCTCAGGTACTTGAGATCAGTTCACGAGATTACTGTTACCAACCACACTGGCTACCTCTTTGCTTAAACTGCTCAATTTTCAACTTAAATGAACTTGTTAACTTATATTAACCTGTGGAGAAGGACTGGGTGTGTTGGTTGATGAAAAGCTCAACATGACCCAACGATGTGTGCTGGCAGCCCAGAATGCCAACCGTATCCTGGGCTGTATCCCGAGAAGCATGGCCAGCAGGTCGAGGAAAGTGGTTCTTCCCCCCTACTCTGCTCTTGTGAGACCACACAGGGAGTATTCTGTCTAGCTCTGGACTCCCCAACATAAAAAGAACAGGGACCTGTTGGAGCAAGTCCAGAGGAGGCCATGAAGGTGATCAGGGGGCTAGAGAACCTCTCCTGTGAAGAAAGGCTGACAGAGTTGGGGGTGGTTTGGACTGGAGAAGAGAAGGCTTGAGGAGACCTTATAGCACCTTCCAGTACCTGAAGGGCCTACAAGAAAGCTGGGAGGGGACTTTTTACAAGGGCGTGGAGTGATAGGACAAGGGGTAATGGGTATAAACTGAAAGAGGGGAGATAGATTAGATATCAGGAAAAGATGTTTTACGATGAGGGTGGTGAGCACTGCCACAGGTTGCCCAGAGAAGCTGTGGATGTCCCACCCGTGGAAGTGTTCAAGGCCAGGCTGGATGAGCAACCTGGTCTAGTGGAAGGTGTCCCTGCCCATCGCAGGGGGGTTTGAACTAGATGATCTTTAAGGTCCCTTCCAACCTAAACCATTCTGTGATTCTATGATTCTATGGTATTTTGCATTTATTCTGCGTGATTATTTTAGAGCTTCCAAAATTTTTTATTTTATGAAGAAATTTAGTTATTTCTAATCTACATCATTGTACATTGTCCAAAACATTGACCACCTGTAAAAAAAAAAAAAAAGGACTGCGTAAAAGGCCTGAAAGAAATATGAAAAAGAAAGTCGAAAGAGCTTGAACAATAACAGACTGAAACAATAATGAATATGTTACAGCAGGGGAAAAAAAAACCCAACACACTTTCTGATTAAGTTTTTTTACATAAGAATATCTTTCTCTTAGATACTGCTGAATAAATTCTCTAAAATAAAAGTAAAGCAAATTAAATAATGATAGAAGGGTTTATTGTTACCCTTTGTATTACTATATTGACTAAACAAACTATATGCCTGATGATGAACCCCATTACCCCTCAAGTGTTCCTTGTCCTATAAACTGGGATCACTGTTTCTGAAACACTGGCCTCATGGCCATTTTCCAGCAGGTAGGACCCACCTGTGGGATCATTTCCAGTAGGGAGGAACACCTTTGAGATAATTTTCCCCACACAGAAGCTCGCCACACTCCTGTTGTGAGATTCCGTGGTTTGAACACTTATTCTTTCCAGAGTCTTGTCCTTGCGTGTGTCTTTAATGAACCTCTTACTTCACTTCAGAGTTCTGTCTTCCTTACTTCAGGGGATGGGATACAAGCTACCTCTACGGCAGACACATATGCGATATAGGTGCTATGCAGTGTTTTAGACAGGGAAACCACCATCTCCTTGCTGGAATTTTACTAGCATGCTTGAAAAGGTGGTAGTTAGAGTTTGTTTTCCGGATTTTTTCTTATACAGCTGTCAAATGCTCAGCTGCATAAGTTGCATCCTCAACACTGCACGCACTGAAAGATCATGACTAACCCTTTTCCCTTATTGTTCAACACTTCCTCTGAAATTCTTCTTTCAATTTCCTCATAGTATGTCCCCTTTGCATTTACTGTTATTTGGTGACACCTATTCATTGGTAATAAAATTGCATTGGTCTTCCTATCCATTTCTGAGCAGCCCTTCTAAGAATCTGCTTTAGCAGGAGATGCATTCTGCTAGCACTGGTAGCCATAGAATTGGGTCCATCATAACACAAGAACATCTATTTTTCTAATATTAAAGAAGGATGGATAGCAATTCATCCCTAGTATCTGTAACCTAAATACCTAAAATTTCAGGGTAATAACTCTTACTGGATTATTTCACATCTGCTGGCTTATTGTCCTTCACTGCACCTGCTATCTATAAAGTTGTCGGATTTAAAAATGTGTAACACTGACACAAGCTCATCCGAAGCACAGTCCATTCCACAGCATGAAATATCGTCACAGAAGTTCTAGCACAAGTATTAGTTCACCTCCAGCAAAATACAACATCCCTTTACTGATAAAGAGATTGTCAAGGACAAGCTTTGATTCTTTAAACATTGATTCTTTTTTTATACTCCATATGGTTAAGGATAGAGGGGTACAAATTGCATTTCACTGCCATTGAATCCTTAGAGGTCTCAAGGGTGATATTAGGACTCTATTACTACTTCAGCATTTACCCATCAGAAATAATTTTAGATTATGTAGAATCTCATCATATAATTCGACTCTTACCCCTTCACCACAGGGAAATCTTAACTGACTTGCACTTACATAAATTCTCACGCCACCGTGTACTTGCAAGAAGTATAAGTTTGTCGGCAGATTCTGAGCTACTTACGTAAGCAATCATTCTTTTAGCTTTCACTTGACTACTCGAGGTTTCCAAAATTCTGTGTTCCAATGGTAGATCACAAGATGTACAAGGGGACACCTCTTTACCCTTCACTCTGCCCAGACCACTTGGGACATAGACATTATTTCTATACTTTTGTCTAGCAAATGCTAACATAGTAGGGCTGCTGGATTTCAAACAAAAATAAGTCAGCTTCCAGGTGGTCAGATTGTCATGCAGCATATTCAGACCCTTTTTGTTGCAGGCATTCGCAGTGTCTGTAAATTAACATAGACACAACTTCTGCATACCACATTGCATTAAGCAGGATTTGGCTGACTTCAGAATTACTGTATCGAGTGTTAGATTTATTTTCTGAGCATGTTAAATATTGTCATGGAAGAATCTGAGTTACTTTATTATGTTGGATCACTCATGACAGATCAGGTATTCCCAATGTATTTCACTTACTGGGGGTGGGGAATATAATGAAATGGACTTTTTTGCGTTCAGTACCATGAAGTACCCTGAGATCTTTTGCAAGCACCCCAGTTATGTCCTGATGGGGACAGTGCTCATTCAGTGATCAGAAAGGCTGGCAGACAATTTGCCTCCCATTCTAGAAGTTAGGCATGGGTAGTTTCCATGACCATGCTTAACTTAGACAGTGTGGCTAGGACATTAGAGCTATTTTTCAATGAATCCAGCACTGTCCCTCCCCAAAAATTATCTTTAATGGCAGACCCTGTGCCAGTTCGACAATTGCCTGCAGCATTTCATATCAAGTTCTGTGGATGAGATCTGGCCAGTTAGAGCTGGCTCTCTTATACAGTACACTTACATAGCATAGAGTTGGCCCTGACACAGCTTCTCCTCAGCTGTGGGAAGGTATATTTACCTAGCGAAATGGAACAGGGCCTCAAACTACAATTAGTAAGTTTGTTTCACACACATACCCTGGGCATCCCTCCCAGTCATTCTGGAGTATTTGGTAGAACAAAATTTCTGCTCTCTCCTTTAGTCCACCTAAGGCTCACATAACTAACATTTATGCTATGGTACCAGGGAGAGCTTTTCTCTTCAGTTTATAGATCACATCAGTCCTTCCTGTATCCTGACTTATCTACAGAAGTACCCTGTTTTTTTCCTAATCATTACACACCAAGGTGCTGTATTGGATATCCTGCAGAGAAGCCACAATCCATAGAAAAGCACATGTATACTCAGAGCTTCAGCTGGCTTTCCTACCTACTAGGAGATAATAAAACGTTCACAGCTAACTATCCTTAAATTCCCCTAGGTACTGGGAACAAGTTGTTCCCAGTAAAGAGGTACCATATTCCACTACAGGAATTGAATTTGGTGTTTATGGTAATTGTAAGAGCACATTTTAAGTCCATGGTGAATTTTTTGCAGCTATACTTATCTTTGATTGTGTCTTCCATTCTGCATGAATATCTGCCCAGGCATCATAGCTGACTCTTCCTACAGAACATTCTTGCTAAAAAAATTTTCTTTGCAAATCCATTTCAAGTTTCCTCCCAAAATGTTTTCAGAGATTAGTTTAACCCAGAAAATAATTCACGTATGTCCTTCCCTAAATCTCATGTTTTTAGGACCACAGCATCTTGCCTGCCAGCCATCTGTAACACTGGATGTTAGGGAAAAGGTAGGAAGGACTTCTATGTATTTCTTCATTGTCTCAGATTTTTTTAGGCAAACCCACCTAAGACTGTGCTGAAAGTGAAAACTACAGGGCCTAGCCATATCCAAACAAGGATCACATACCTCACTAAGCAGTTTAATAAAGACATGTGATGAGAAATGTGCTCCATCATTAGAATGTGCTTCACTAGAACTCACTCTATCCACAGTCTTGCCAAGAAATGTCTCCGTCCCTGGTGTTCGCGAAGTGAATACCTGGAACTATATTTATGGCCAAACATTATACTGCTGCAAGGGTATCCTTAAAGGATTCCATATTTACCAAGGTCTCCTGAAGTCACTGCTTACAAGAAAACACATATCCAGGTAACTGACTGGATAAAAAACTTCTGCTTGAAGGAACCTACACGGAATATTCATGTGTGTAAACACTATAAAATAGAAAAATTGTTTATCAATAACCAGAGTTTCTTGAAATGTGTTGGCATTCTATATATTCACTTCCCTTTCTACTCCATCTCCCTCTCATCCCTTCAGTGTCCTTTGTGAAACTTTTGGCTTCAAAAGTTTGAATACACACTGGGACTGCTCCACTGTTAAATCATCTCTTGTAGACTGAAATCCTAGATACCATTACAGATGCAGATACCCTTCTACCCGACCTAGTCCTTCAGTTGTTCTGGACATGTGAAGAAGCAGAACTCTAGTGTTTAGAGAACTTCAGGACGATTCCTCCAAGGATACCTTGTGGTCTGTGGGTGTGTTTTCCCTCAGTCATAATTTTGATTTGTATCTAATTTTTGCCCGAGACCTTTATTGAGTTTTGTCTATCACCACTTGATCAATCAATTTGAAATTAGTTACTGTCCTCAGAGAATATTTAAAGATATACTTCAATAAATGTTTAGTTTTTTAAGATAGTGATAACTGTGTAACTATATAGTAAATAAGTTTAAAAGGAAACAAGACAGAATGAGTAAAAATTAATATAAAAATAAGAAAGAAAAAAAATTGAAAAGGTGGAGAAATTAACTAAACACAAAATATGAAAATGATAGTATAGTAACACTATTTCCATTATAGAATGTAAACAGGAGAACATGAAAGAAAATAGGTTTAAAAAAAAAGAATAAGTGAAACACTTTTCAACAACAGGCAACAGTGAGAATCTGAAGAATGTAAGATGTAGAAATTCCTATACTTATCTCTAACAACTGTGTGTTTATCAGCATTTGCAGGACCAGCTTAGTCTAGCCTGATAAAGTTTCAAATTTATTTGGGTCTTTGCAAGATTTATCTCCTGGAAAGAAATACAGAGAACATTTTAAATGTTTCAGCCCTACAGAAAATAGTGTGCTCCTTTAAGTACATAATAAATTTCCTGGCATATTCCAAAAAGAACCTACTCAAATCAATGTCTCCTGTTCAGTATCTGTGCTGTATATTTGTAAAACTGTAGAGTGCTGTAAAAGTTTGTGGGCCAACTGTAAACCTATTCTATTGAGCAGTGTTATTCCAAAATCCTTTTCCTCGTTGGTAGCCACAAGTCTTTATAAGCCGTACGTTAAATTCATTTTATAACGGTTATTTGAGCATTGATACTTGCAGTCAGGAACAGTCTCTGACATACTGTGTTTTGTCATATCTGTGTATACCTTAATTTTAGACATTACTAAAACACTGGTAAGTTTACTCTGTAAAAAATGATGATGACACAAATAGCAGCATACACATTTAAAGAAACATGGACACATTTACTGCATATATAGAAAGACAATTATATAATTTATGCTACCATCAACAGCATTAACATTGAGATAGTTGTCTCATGAGGGACACACACCAACAATCATTTTTTAAATCTCAGCTAACACTCTAAATTAAGGTCAGAGATTAGTAGAAGATGATTTCTATTAGTATCCACACTTCTGATTTTTTCTAGTAATTTGGTTAGCTGAGTGTCCTCATGACAGATTTTCTTCTCATTTTTGAGAAAAAAAGAAAAAGACATTTTCATGTGTTCATACGTGTCAAGACAAGTTTACTCAGATATCTTATTGTCACACTGCAAACATCTGCTCACTGATTTATGTAAGCAGTTTCTGAAGAAATGCATGTTAAACATGTTTAGAAAGACAAAAAAAAGCCAATAAATTATAAGAACATAATTTAGAGAAAAAATTAATTTCTAGGTATAAATAGCTGTATATCAACAGATTACAGTATTTAAGAATGGTATTAGTTTATATTTTGTGACTGATTTTTACACGTGTGAAATATAATCTTTCCTACGGTCTTCTTTTTAGCCACTAGAGGGTACTCCAAGAACTTACAGTATAGCAAGGATTTATTTAGTGTTTGTTGGTCTGTATATGATCCAGTACTGCTGTCATACTAAACCTGGGGATTTTAACCCCCCAAAATCTGGTTATTAAACAACTTTCAAAACCAGTCTAATATACCTGTTCAGCAAAATAGTGCAGCATACCCAAATTATAAGGAACATTGACTGACATGTAGTTTAGATTTAGTTATCTTACTTTTAAATTATCTAAATTATTATCTTTTCTTTATTTCAGACACAATTCTCTGGTTCACACCCTGTTTCTTCATCCAGACTTGGACAAGGCATTCCATTATTGGCAGGCTGAAGAAGTACAAAACGAGTTCTGATCTTGGTCCCTGTTTTTCTGCAAAGACCTCTACAGAGACCCCAGGAAGACCATTGTGAAACCTCACAGTCCAGTGGTGTTTCTGCAACATACACAATAAAAAAGTAACTTTATACAAAACTGTGCTTAAGGCAAATACGCAGTTGGCAAAGCATTAAGGAATGATGATCAAATAGTGTCCTTTTTTATACAAAAATACATGTGATATTAAAATCCATTTGTTGTCTCATCAATAAAAATGTCTCTTTTCAGCTCCTAAGCTAATCAACACGAGTATATTATTATTATTGTTATTACTACTAGTACTACTAAAGTCTAGAGACTGAGGTTTTAGTAGTAGTGCAGGATATCATCTATTGAAATGAAAATATAGAATTCTTATCAAAGAAAACTACGCTTAAAATAATTGTATTCAAAAGATCACATTAAAAAACATTTGTCACTTTCATAACTAATTTTTTTTTGCATGGCTTACTAAAACCACTAGGATTAAAGCTTTTCTGGGGTTTATTTAGTTCTATTTCTGTGCAGATAGATATTGTTCCTATAGTTGTTCATATCGAATTTGATTTAACTTTAGTTCCAATTTGCTTCACAAATAAAGAAAAATTACTTCTTTTTGTGATTCAATATTGCTGTTGTTTGGTATGTACACTATAGTTCCCTTTGCCAATGAAGATATTCTGTCATTAGAGGCTTTTTAATACTAAAAGGGTTTTCAATATCATTTTAATTTACTGCGAGAAAAGAAGTCAGAAACTCTAAAATACTTTTCATAACTTATACTTCTGTTGAAAATATCTCTCACAATAATATAGATTACTATTCCTTAGCAGGTTATCTAACAATACTGCTTGTCACAGAAAATCACATCAAAAATTCTCGGTGGACACAGTCCAACTGTTCTTTCCCTTGGAGCAAATGTTATGTTATATTAATAATGTATTTATTAATTTGGAGATTTGAAGATTACCCTTAAGACTGACTTGAGTCAGTAGTTTGCATGTCTTCCTGCCTAAACAGGGTGATTAGCTAGTATTTTTAAGAAAAGAAAATAAAAATGAGAGAGAACATTATTTTTGCTGTCAGGATGTATGATTCTACCACAATGACTAATTCTATCCAAATGACTTGAATCATATCGATTCTTATTGCACATAACTATCAAGCCCTCTGACCCAGAAAGAGGCAACATTAATAAATAGTTCTTTTGCTCTGCCATCAAGTAAAAAAATAAGGATAAACATCTACTTCAAAGTTGCAAAGAATTTGGGAACTCTGATTCTGATCAAGTGTTGTTTACTTCTCATAACATTTACTGATCTGTGCTGATATTAAGGTCTGAGCAACCCTTACTGTGGATGTAACCCAAATCTTTGAACCATAGCTCAAAAAGCCAAACCTTAATCTTTCAGGGATTCTCTTTTATGTCAATTGGGTTGTTTTATTTCCCATGTGTGAGTCTGGAACCTATTCCTAAGCAGATAGGAGAATATTCTGCCTAATCACCTATTTCATCCACATCACCTGCCAGATTTCCACATATTTTCTGAGTGAATGGAAATAACAGAATTGAGCATTTCAAAGTACTAATCACATACCTGAGACAGAGTCTATTATTTCATTGCTTTTAGCTGGAAGATTAAGATAAGGTGCAAGAAGACCCAGATGGCTTTTCTTTAATTTCACCATTGTTACTTGAGCAATAGGTGGCAAAATTTTGAGTTTGGGATAATAAAAAGAGTTTGCTGGGTGACTTGGAGAGGAACAAGTGATCTGTGAAATAAAAAAGGTGAACCTTTAAGAATTTACATAATATATAGTAAGGAGTTAACTTTAAAATCATGTTTACGCATCCTGCTAGTATTTTTGGCTGTAAAATGCATATAACCAGTTTCTGTGAACCTCATTTCACATAGCTACTGCTGTTAAGCCCAGCATTTTTATGCATAATGCTTTGAGACTGTGCACAATGAGTTGTGCCAACCTCTGGAGAGAGTACCCTGGTGGGAGGCACTGAAATCAGAGTCATGTAGGAAATGGTTTGATGGGAAGAAGTGGATGTTATTACAAAGAACAACAAGAGTATTAAATAATAATACTAGGTATGCTATAGCAGCGGTCATACATATACAGGAGGCCATATGTATTGTTTTCCAGCTTCTATGTTCCTTTTCTCATTACTCATAAGCACAGCATTTGGCTCTAGAAAAACTGACCCTAAAGAAAGTATTAACTGAATGCTTATAGCATTCAAAACATCCAGATCATAATCCTCTGTTGCCACCACCCTTAAATGACAAAAACAAACTCTGAGGCATATAAAGTATCGAGTAGTAAAAAAGAATGAAAGTGGGGTCCCCTCAATAGCAATGCAGTTTTACTTTGCTTTCTCTTAGCTCCTTTCCCTCAAATGTAATGGTTTCAGGTTTCAGTAATGCTTTAATCTAAAAACTCCTCTCCACATCAGTATTCACTACTGAGAATTTTCCTGTTTAGACACATAGTTAGTGTAATGCCAGGATTTTTGTGAATATTTTTGTTTTCCTGGTGTTCTAGAAGTTGTTAAAATCATCTAGAAATAGCCAGCTTTTACAGAAAATACTTTACACATAAAGCCATATTTTCACAAACCATCTGCATTTACCTAATGAATTTGAAAGACACAGAAAATAAATAAAAGCAGTAGGTTTATCAGCTATGGAATAAATCCATAGAGAAAGAGCATCAGCACTCTCAAATATAGAAATCAGTTTCCTAAGAGTCTATCCTGTAGTCATTGGAGAGTTATCTCTTAAAGGGAGCACTCAAAACATATAGGTATGAATAGCTAAACCTTGTATATACACCTACCTCTGTAACTGTGTCCTGTGGAATAGTGGCAAAGTTTGGGGAGGAAAATGTGAAACCGCTGTCAGTTCCAGCATCATATGGAAATAGATCTACAGACACTTCTTCCACCCAGTGGTCTCCTTCACAGAGATTTAGGCTGTCAATACCCACAAACCAGTCGGGGCTTGGAACGATTCGTACAACAAATGAAACCTGATGAAACAAAACGATCTATCAGGATTGCATCGCTTATTTTGAAATGTTTCAGTCCTGCTTATAGTAATTTTAACTCAAAATTTTTGAAAGAAAAGGACAATATGCTCTTCTACTTTATAGAAACTCTAACTGCGCAGTGAAATCTGACATCATTTTTAGTGACTCTTTGCATTATACTGTTCCTACAAGTGAGAACTCAAATATTTAATTTTGGATGCTAGTGACATAAAATAAACTTTTAAATTAATATGTACATTTACTTACTAAGGGATGTCTTGAATGTACTTCTAATTCAGTGGATGTTTGTCCTGTACCACTGGAAATGGCAGGAGCAGAGAAGATTCCATGTACACTTTGTATTTTCTCTCCAGCTTCTTCTATTTCTTTCATTAATACCCATGCTTCACCCTTTTCAGCAAAATCACGTACACCATTGCTGGCATATTCATTTTTTTTCCACATGCTGTAGTCAGCACTATGAGTAACACCTATTTGAGTGAATACATGGCATGACATAAAAGTCTGGTTTAGATTGTCCTTATTTCTTCAATTTCTCTGTTTTATTTCTGAGGTTAAAAAAAATGTGTATAAAAATGAGTGAACACTGAAACATTTGGTTTATCACTGTTTATTTCAGCTGCAGCCAATTGAAAACAGAAGTCAATTGAAAACAGTTGTAGATTTTTGAAAGCAATGTGGATACTTCACTTGCTACATTTCATTCTTCATAACTTTGGCAATTTTTTCCTTTTTCATTAGTTATTTTAGAATTGACTATTAAGAAGAAAAAAGATCACAGCAGTCAAGAGATTTATCTGTTCTTAATATTGAACATATTTTCACTTACCTAGCATTGATGACCACTGTGCTGGGGGCCTATAAAGTGGATACTGCTTAGGGAAAGCAGTCTGACTCCATTTCCCTGTGAAGATGATGCTGTACTTAGCAAGTTCCTCTGCTGCGCAAATAGAATCATCACTCACAGGCAAGCTGCTGGCATAACCTAATATTGTTACAAGTAATGTCGAGATAACTTTACAGGAGCGGTAGACAAACATCAGGTTTTCCATTCCCTTCCACACAAAAATAGAAAAATGTTAGCCACATTAGTCACTCCGAACCCAAAATTGAGTAACAGTTACCTAATAAAATGTAACATACCATAAGTACAGAAAGCAAAGTAAGTAAAGAAAGCATACATGCAAAACACTAAAAATTGTTATGCTTCTAAAAACATTATTCTAATGCTTTCAGATTTGATATTTCCATGCTATATAGTACAAAACTGTAACTCTACCTGGGACAAGTGTTTCTAATGAAAATAAAAATATCTTAACCTTGTCCATAGTACTACCTCTGAGAAAAATCTGTTTCTGATTTTGTTTTGAAATCTTATTAGAGTCACATCTTGAATTAATTAGAGTAGCAACTGTTTCTGTGGAAAACATTAGTAGTATATTTATTCTTCTAAAGATTAAATTGCAGCTTACTTTGCCAAAAGAAATGATTTATTTTAAATTTGTATTCTACAAAGGCTTTTTTATGGCATAACATTTAAAGTCAAATACATTACATATTTATATAAATTACTTTGCTGTCATAACTTCTGCATTAAAAAATACATTGTAATTGCTTCAGATTGTTTAAGCTACACAGTTGCTAAAAACCAATATTTTTAAAAAGTTGCTGTCATAGGTTGTGCAAATTTTTATTTTAAATTAATATGGTAATTGCATCAGACTGTTGAACTCCAGCAATTGTTTAAAATAACAGCCTTAAAAACTTATTTTAAATGCTTTTGTCCTCTGAGAAAACTATAAAAGTATAACTAAAATGGTAATAATATATTAATTTGTAAAAAGAGCTGTGAATACTCACTAAATATTTCCTCTGGAGCACTGGCAGGGGGAGAGCACCTGCTTTTGCTGGCAGCTGAGTTGGTCTGCAAGAGAAGACAGTAGGAGTCTTGCTATTTATGCCTGAAGAGGGTCCCTTTGGTCCAACAATTATTGTAATCTTTAGACTTTCCAGGTTTGCAAAAAGCTTGCCATCTTCTTGTTTGTAATCTTTTTGGATGGACTATCAGAGATTTCCTGTCTGTCAACTGGTTTAGGTTCCTATCAGAAGACTGTGATGCCGGATAGACGAAATGCTTTAAAAAATACCTTGGATTCTTAGTAACAGTTTGAGTTTTCTGGTGCCTTTGCAGTTCTCTGCTCTTATTAATGCCTCCAAGCTATACAAATGAACTGATTCCAACACTGAAATAGTTCTGGAGACTACACTTTAAATGAGAAGCATGTTTTCTTGTAAGTTTTATTGTCTGACAGATGCTCCTTCCAAACATTTACAGAGAGCTTGCTCACTCTCACACACCATATGTATGTGTTCAAATAAAAGGGGTGAGGCAGCTAAAAACGTCAAGAGGAAAAAAAAGTTACATTTCATAATTGCACATACTCACACAGACTGTCTCCTGCAAATATGAATTAAAGTAGTACAGTGTATATTTTTGTGTTCTACAGTACCGTATGCTGGATGATGAAAGGGCTCTGTAACATTGTGGTTTCTAAAAAAAATTTGGGAAGCTCTGAGATTTTTCTTAGCTGTCTTCAGAGTAAATACCCCAAATAAAAATCTGATTATTACAGTTAAATCATACATCCTCTGTAGCACAGTATATATATTTACATCACTAAAATTATTTAAATTATTTATGAAAAATTATGCATACTACAGTGACCCAATTAAGAAAACACATTTAATATTTATTATAAATTATTTTTCCCACCACCTTTCAAATCAGGGAAAACAAGGGCTTTGTGCCATGCCTATAAGGTTAACAAACGTTATGGTGGCTGATCAGCAGAGGAAGTTAAGTTCAAAAGTTTACAGTGAACCATGAAGAAAGTCTTTCATTGTCTTCTTTTGAAATTGTGAGGAATGTCACTTAAGTACTTCCACAGATCACTAATATGATGGTACAGCATATGGAAAAAAAAACCCCACCCACACCAGCTATTTTTCAGATGAAACTCACAGTGCATCATAGTTATATAGCTTAAGTGACACACTGTTGTTCACCAGAGGGGGTTACGAAACAACCAGCTTGAGCTTTATGGCACTTTGACTGGAAACATCTCCTTCCCTTCTGCCACCACCCCATGGTAAATCAATAAGAAAAGCCAAGAGATTAATAAACTGGCATGTCTGAATGGAATTTTTCCAACCTAAATGCTTCCATGAATTTCCATTGATTATTCTCCTGGCAAAACAGAACCTATTACAAGTTTCAACATAGATGGATTCAGCACCCATAACCACAATTCTTGTGTATCTGGGTAGATTATGGGAATTCTGTAGCAGGTTAAGCCAACCAGACATGGATGTGCCCTTTATTTCCAAGGCCCCTTCCACCATCCTACATTTGCAATGTTTTCCATAATTTATTTTTGTTCCAGGAGCCAGGCTCCGCTAAGAAAAAGAGAAAAGACTTCATAGATACTTTTATACCAGTTCTGTGAGTGTTTGTTGAAGGATGGTATTTGAATTACATCCAGCTCACTCCCTCCTATGCACAGAATTCCAGATCCACAGGTTCCTTAGAGAATTGAGTCTACTTACATCAGACGTGTGTGATCTTTCCAGCCCATGCAGCCCTCTAGAAGAATTGTATAAAGGTCTACAAGTTTTAATGAATATTGCTCAGACCACCGCTAAAATTGCTTAAGGCTTACTTATTTATTACTAAGTAGCTTTAAACTTCAGTAGTTTTTGTTTACCATCATGATTACTGAACCAGCTAACTTTGCATATTGAAACATAGTGCGAGACTTCCGGGACAATACTTAAAATGAGAAAAAAAGCAATTAGCTCTGGATCTAACACAGATTTATTTAATATATCAGACTAGCCTTTTCCTTTTGAAGAAAAAATACTGCCAAAAGGCACATCACCAGACTAGATCATTCTGGTTCCATGACTACGTTATGAATGTATCCAGGAGCAGGACAATACATGCAGGCTGCATAATTTGGCACAGCTACCGTAAGAAAAACTTACTAAATGATAAAAGAAACTGAATCTTTGGAAATCATTAACTTTGGAAGCCACTTGAGGTTTCTAAGTACAGAGTAGACAAACAAATATCAAAAAATCACAAAAGTTACAGCTGATTCTCCCTTGGAAGAGCAGTGCGTGATGCTTTGTCCTGAACATCTAGTCTCCAGTTCTTTTTTACCTTACTAACTAGTGTGGTCATGACAGACTTCGAAGCATTTTAGTTTGAAAAAACAAAGAGGGATTCTTTCCTCAAAGGCTGCAGTTACTTAGAGGGAAACTGTATAGTCCTTATTCTTTTTCTCTGATCCTGATCTAGAATGGAGGTTTTCTTCCTTATGATGCCTACACTGGACCCTTCCCTGTTTACAATGAGGGCTCTACTATGACAGATTTCTCAGGAAGGATAAAAATCTGTTGGGCCTACAGCCTCTGCTGGATTTACAATTACCTTGTTTGCAAAATACAGTAACTTTAAATTTTATGTAATTATCTTCTCTCCTCTCCCTGCACCCACCCCCATGGATGAAGAAGGGGGAAAAAATAGAGTAAAACATACCTAGTAATGTTGTCAGAAAATACTAACTTGAGGACTCCCAGTCACTTCTTTAAATAGAAACTGTGCTAAGCATAATCAGTCTCTGACATTGTGAAGGACATCAAAACACCAAATTTAGTACCTCATAGAGGGGGGTGTGGGGCGGGGGGAGGGGTGTGTGGAAACAACACCAAAACAAAAAAACCCATCAAACCCAGATTTCCACTCAATTGAATACTTTCATGTCTGGGAAGTCACAGATGCCAAATTTCTGTGGGTCAGCAGTTGGAAAAAAAAAATTGCTGTGGGATCAGAACCTATGCTTGCATTCCTTCATCAGTTTGTATGTCCCATTAGAAAGCAGCTGCAAACTCATGAAAAACTGGAAAAACATTCTTCCATTCAGAAACCATTTTACCTGTATATAAAATTGGACTTATTTTCTTTCACTTTTACAGCAAAATAGCTGTTGTTTTTTGAGTTTGTGTCTCTTCAGGTACACTATTTCCTATCAATATGCATACATCTATAGACCCCTAATGCTTGAGGGAGTAGGCATTCAAAGCTTTTTTCTCTCAAGCATCAGTGCCAAAGTGTGCCTTGTATTAATTTTACTTGCAGAAGTGTGCAGCTTCTGCTGTTTCGTGTCAATAAGGCAACAGTTTTACAGTGCCTGAAGGCTTTACCAAGATCCACTTGATGAAAGCTGGGAAGTATAAACCAAAAATGTTGTCCAGATTTTTTCTATTTTTAAATAAAAATCATAACTGTGTCTAGAATGTTCTGTATTTTTGCTAACTTAAAATATTAATAAAACAAGAAGGAAAAAAGCCCTATTTAAAAATATACTAGTACAGTCAATATCACGTTGATTCTTAAATCATTTACACCATCTGAAAACAGTTAATGAACATGTTTAGGCTACCACACAGGAATATAGCACATTAAAAGGTTGTAAATTCCATTTTGATTAGCCAGATAATAATTTAGCCCTTTCTCTGGTAAGCAGCAAGATTGGCATGATTAGTTATGACTTTTCTATTAAACTGTAAGTTTAAGAGAAAGGAGATTTAACTGAAATGATTGATCTGAAGTTAGTTTGCCCACTTTATTCAAAACAGAAGCTCCAGAAATTTTCTGTCTATATTCCTCAGCTCGCACCACACATTAAAATTTTACTAAAACAATTTCCGTTTTGCTGGCAAGGAGTATATCTGCAATTTTGATATTTCCAGACTGTTTAATATGCTTATGACTAGCTAGCAGCTCTTTGTCTACCAAGAAAACATAAAATTGTATTACTTACGAAGGATTATACACCCATATTTTCTCTCCTGTAGTTACCATGGATACACATACGATTATGGACACTCAGCAATGCCAAAAGGTTTACATTCACTCAAAACCCTCTGAGCTCTAAATAAAATCTCAGTACCAGAGTGGTAAGCAGCACAACATTTTATCATGGAGAAATTGTGGTGTTGGTTTGGAAGCTTTTATAAAATAAAGAATTTACACAGGATAAGAAAGCATTTCCAATATTGGATGCTACAACAGTAGTGAAGGTGGCTTTAATCTATACTTATCTTTTGGGATAAAAATTTCGTTTGCAGATTAAGGAACCTAAGATGAGTATATACATATGAACTAGATATATAAACTGCCTCTATATATAATGGAGGTCTAGTCAATATAGTCAACAGAATGTAGAGAACTGTTCAGCTCACCCTTTAATCTATACCTATATTTGACCAAATGAATAACTGGTGAGTAGCTCTCTGGTCTCCACTATCTATAATGATAAGCTTTCCATTGACCAGACACGTAGCTATCACATAATCATCTACACCTAAGTAACTGATTCAGGCCTCTCTCTCTTTTGCTGAATCCAAAGCCAAGTTGACTTCATTAGATATCCTCACTGACGACTATAATCAAGGTTCAGCCTGGTGGTAGGATATTGCAAATTCACTCTGTATTTTGAGTTTAGAAATTCTCCTTGCAAGGGTGCTTTGGGATTGGGGACAGGGGGGTGATTTTTACTGACCATAATGATATTGCCATGCTCTTCTGTCGTTTTCTGCATTCTTCTGTCATCTGTATTTAAGTCACTTCTAGTAGTCAAAATCCTAATATGTGGGCCAGCACCAAATAAGTCAATCAAGAATTTGCTCCTCTTTGGGCTTCTTCTCCTGCCCACAGCTTAGGTTCATATTGTGCAACAATAACAACCATATAATCTTTTTTTTTTTTTTCAAAAAGAGGATCTTAGAATTCCACCCTTTTCTGCATCTCAGCATCTAATTTTCATCTTCTTTACACCAGTAAAAGATGGCTACACAG